AGTAGCACTAGTAGTACTAGTAGTACTGCTAGTAGTAGTAGTAGTAGTAGTAGTAGTAGTAGTAGTAGTAGTACTACTAGTAGTAGTAGTAGTAGTAGCAGTAGCTGTCGTAGAAAGTAGTAGTAGTAGTAGTAGTAGTAGTAGTAGTAGTAGTAGTGGTATTAGGGCTTCATGACGGCTCTTCTCGCACAATGTTGATGTCCATCAGTCCTTGTCGGCCGATAGGCTCTCGAAGCCCGGTGGCCGGTAAACCCTAAACCCTGTAGAATCCTGAGCCGTAAACCCGATAGAACCCTATAGGACCACAGTAAATCCTAAAACCCTATACCCTAACCCCCTGCACCCTAAACCTCATAGAACCCTAAACCTCCTAGCCCTACACAACCCTAAACCGCCGAACCCCTAACCTCTAAACCGCCTCAACCCCCTGAACCCTTAACCCTGTACAGCCCACCTTGTTTGTGAGGACCGGAGAAGAAGGGTGACTACTACTACTACAACAACAACAACTACTACTACTACTACTAGTACTATTACACTACTACTACGACGACTACTACTACTACCACTACTACCTCGTAGGTAAAATAGAAAGCTTTCTCTGTGACAATCGGCCCGTTGCCTGTGGATAGGACCTGGGGAACGATTTAGGGTTTAGGGTTTAAGGGTAGAGCTAAACTTTAAAGTTGAAAGGGTAGTCGGCTAAGTAAACCCGAAACCCTAGCACACCTCAGCCCCAATGCTTTAAAGCCTTACAACCCTCGAGCCCTAACGCCTAAACTCTGGCCACGAAGGCCAAAGCACTACTGCGGCCCACTGGCACTATCCAAGTTCGAGGCATGTGGTCGGCGTGCTTACTTCATCCTAAGTATTGGATTTCAGGGTGCAAAAGTGCTTTAATAATTAGGGTTTGCGAGACTCCCTTGCAGCTTTCGGGTTTGTGATTCGGGTTTTCGGGTTTACGATAATACTTTCCTTTCATGGCCATGATAGGCAATGACATACTTAATTTGCCTTCATCAGCAAACCCCTTTGAATGGTTCATTTCGAAGTGAAGGACGTAATGAATTTATGAGTAGGCTGTCAGGTACCATAACCATTCCAAGTGCACATTTCCCAGCCTCAATAAATTCCTTGCAACTTGAATCCTCTATGGTCCCACGGACTATTGATGTTTGCTGCGGTTGTGGGTTTAAACCGACCCATCGGCAATAGAACTCCATTACCCCACCAGGTTGAGGTCCTGAGAGTCGAGGTTTAATGGCTTCACAGTTTCTGGCGGTACCTTCTCAATCAAATGTGGACAGTGCACACAGAGTTTCGGTTTCGGGTTCGGCCTTTCCGGCTTCCTGTGCAACTCTCACCCTACAGCTCAACTTCAAGACTGCCAGACTCATCAGCTTGAACAGTAAGTAATCCACAACAAATGTCAGGCCGGAAAACCTCTACTGCTACTACGACTATTACCACTACCACTGCATTTGTTGCTACTAGTAGTGCTAGTACTAGTACTTCCACTCGCAGCACTTCTTCTCCTACCACCGCGACCACGACCACAATTACTACAACTGCAACTACTACTGCTACTGCTGCTGCTACCACTCCTACTACTACTAATGGTACTGATACTAGTGATACAGACCTGATACTACTACTACTACTACTACTACTACTACTACTACTACTACTGCTACTACTACTGCTACGACTACTGCTACGACTTACTACGACAGCGGCTACTAGTACTATTTCTGCTACTACTACTACTACTACTACTAGTACTTTCTACGACAGCTACTACTACTACTACTACTACTACTACTACTACTACTACTACTACTACTACTACTACTACTACTACTACTAGTACTACTACTACTACTACTACTACTACTACTACTACTACTACTACTACTACTACTACTACTACTACTACTACTACTACTACTACTACTACTACTACTAGTACTAGTACTAGTACTACTACTACTACTACTACTACTACTACTACTACTACTACTACTACTACTACTACTACTACTACTACTACTACTACTACTACTACTACTACTACTACTACTACTACTACTACTACTACTACTAGTGCTACTACCACTACGACTTACTACGACAGCTACTACGACAGCTACTACTACTACTACTAATACTACTAATACTACTACTACTACTACTACTACTACTACTACTACTACTACTCCTACTACTACTTTTATTACTACTACTACCACTACTACTTCTGCTAGTACTACTACTGCTGTTGCTACTAGGTACCGTCTTTGATTCTACTCGTTACCCAGTCTTCTTACTATAATTGGAAATGCTCTCCCTAATACTACCTAAGATTTATATGCCTGCAGCGATGCCAGCTGACGCAGCGTCGGGAGTACTCCACTGGGTGATGCAAAACAATGTCCGACATTCGATGCGTGCGTGGCTGTGTAATCTGAAGACAAAGACCAGGACATCGGCATGGCATGCGGCACTTGCCTAATCATGCTTCATTTCCCTGAACACCCAGAGCCTAATTATTACAATTAATTAACCCTGCTCGCGTCACATGCCGCCCATAGCAAACATGCCCAGTGATTCTGGCCTTTTACACGACATTTGGCCCGCCTGCGTCCGAGCTATTGTTGGGTCGCCTGCGGCGTTTGGTACATTTCGCTCCATGTGTTGTCCTGCGGCTTCTTGCACAGAGGCGCTTCGCCGAACAGATTCCTGCTGCCAGGTGGGGCCAGGTGGCTCTTAATAGATATTAGATTACGGATCAGGCAGCCCCAGTAGGATTTCTAGTTCATCCCGTCACCGCACCCGCACAGTTTCTTAAGACATGCCCGAGTACCCGACAAGTTTGATTTTTGGGTGACCACTCTCTAATGCATGCGAAATAGATCCGTAGACCTTGAAGCAGCTTCGTCGCCCACATTATTAAGGTTCGGGGTTTGGGGTTTAGCTTTACCTACTTAAACCTCAGGCCTTAAAGCTTCAACGGTTTCTAGTTAAGCCGCAAGCCGGATGTTGTCTTTCTCTCAGGTTCAGTTCTAGTAAGTAGCAGTAGTATTCGAAGAAGCATTTCCCGTCCGAGTTAGTAATCCGAGTACCAGTGCTAGTAGAAGAGGAAGAAGTAGTAGTAGTAGTAGTAGTAGTAGTAGTAGTAGTAGTAGTAGTAGTAGTAGTAGTAGTAGTGGCAGTACTAGTACTAGTAAGTAGTAGTAGTGTCAGACTGGTGCCAGCAAATTCGTCTTTGGTGGCTTGGCCCCAGAACATGTGTCGGGCGCCATTGCGACGCTTCCAAGCGTGCCTCGACGTCTCCGTCATCAAGCGGGTCTCCACTCGGACAGGTGACATCACAATGAATGTCCTGCGGTTGAAGGACTCTCGAGTCTCGAGCCCTGAACTTCTGAAGCACTTTGTCGCATATTGGAGAAGCCTGGCAACACAGAAGCGGCTCGCTCCACTCCAGAAGCAGACGGCTCCAGAAGACGAGTGCACACAAGGCTCTTCTGACTGCTCGAGCCTCTGTCCGTTAGGTCATCACTCAGCACAGATCCGGCGCACTCAAGACTTTGCATGAGGCCTGCCGGCACAAGGACAAGGACATCGACACCGACTGACAAGGACATCGAGACCGACGCTCTGTCTCTCTCTCTCTCTCTCTCTCTCTCTCTCTCTCTCTCTCTCTCTCTCCCTCTCTCTCTCAAATAATCAAGCTAAGCCCCAAACCCCAAAAGTTTCCTTGTTCTTTTCAGAACAAGGAAGCTGCATGAGCCTGTTGGGGCCCCAACAGGAGGTTCTTTCTGGCTCTGTCCCGCCGTGGCAGGAGATACAGCAGCCAGAAAGCCCTCCGACCCCAGAGCCCTTTCGGTTTCGGACCCTAGACCCTAAAATCCTAACCCTGACATGGAATTCCGAAAGCACAACCCTGAAGCTCTAATTTGACTTAACCTCATGACTGCTAACTTTCCAACCCCTTGATGAGTTAGACTTCTCCAAATCTGAGCGCCGAAACCCGACCCCGGACATTTGACCCTAAACGTGTGCCTGAACCCTAGGCCCTAAGCCCCGTGGGCCTGAACCCTAGGCCTTAAGCCCTCCACTCTGAAATACTCGCCCTACAACTATTACATAACACTTAAGCCCAAACCCTGAAACGAAGACCAGGCCTGAAGGGAGTTGACCCCTGAATGAACCTAAACCCTAGACTTAAACCCGGAGCCCTCTAATCAATAAACACAACGTCCAGGAATGATTGCATGTTATTCAATGTGTTAACTTGGTGCAATTTTTGGGAGGCATCAAACTGCGGTGTGCGATCTTCGCAGATTAATGAAATAATTATCAAACCTGACATCCATTTTTGACTCAGAGGCCCGTAGTTTCCCTTTGCCACCATATTCCATTCTCCCTTGTATCGCCCGAGTGTCATTTTCTGCTGTCAGGGCTTCTGCGACTACATGATGGGCAACATCTTCTTGCTCGAGCCCACGAACATCGCTCGTTCCCCCTCGCCCGAGTCGCCACGAACCCCCCTCGAACCCCCCAACCCTTCGTCGAAGTTCGTCGCACCTGCGGGGGGGTTCGCCGAAGTTCGCCCCAGCTGGGTGGCGCCCCCCCAGAGTAGCGCCTACAGATAGTTAGCCTACAGAACTACTTTGGGGCCTATGGGTAGCACATGAACACAATATTAGTGGACCGAAGCGCCTAACCACTTTCAGCCCGAAGCCTGCAAACTTTATACACCTTAACTAATAATATATCCGGTCGTCCCACTCTCTGCGCAAAGCCCTATCAAGCACGACCTTCGGTTTTGGGGTGTCTCTTCAGATCCTCAGCACTTTCAGGCCAGATCCTCCCCAATCAAGCAAGCTGAACCCCAAGATCTAAAACCCCACGGCGCAAATCGGCGCAAGCCGGACAAGCTAAATCTGATCCCTAAACCCTAAACCCTAAACCCTAAACCCTTTTTTTATCTGGCATAGGCCAAGCTTGACAATCGAAAGATCATTGAGGAGCCGGCAGTCCCTGAAGGGTGGAGCGTTCGGGATTATGGGTTTAGGATTTAAGGATTTGGGATGCTGATTTACGCTTTTGGGATTCCGGATTTGTGTTGTACCTTAAACTACCAAACCCTACTTTTCTGTAGGTTCTTATTGTAAACCCTACTATGGAATTTATAGGGACACTACAAAAAAGTAGGTTTTGGTAGGTTAAGGTATGGTTTGGCCTCCAAAGGGCTTCGGGTTTGGGGACTCGGGCTCCGTGATTCGAGGATCCTGTTTCCCCAAGAATTCTTAGGGGTACTGCGATGTGTTTTTAATTTTTGGTTAGTATACTCCTTAAGAAACAGCTAAAATTTAAATTTTTGCTAGGGTTCTAAGTTCAGTATAGGGAATGTTTCATGCAGTCCTTCTTCTGGTATATGGCCTATGTGGCTATGCCGACAGCGCTGTCTCACGCAATATAGAAGACCCAATACTATTCCTGAGCTTTCTGGTATACTGACAGTCAACGGTACACCCCAAACCCATTTTTAGTTATAAAGGCCCCTACATCAGTTTCGTCCGAACCTTCGTCTATGCGACCAGTCGACATGCTTTTTAAACCCGGAATAACATTAACACGACACTTTAAACATGTGAACGGAGTGTGCTGCATAATCAAGCTGTCCTAGTTATGTGTGTCTCATTCTGTCTCGTTCCATCATGGTGCAGGATTTCTACACCCGAGCAAAACATCCTGAACTTGTGAAGCCTGGATAGACCCTAAACCTTCAAAAACAGCAAGCTAGACCAGGGAGAGCCCTGTGTCTAATACGATGATGACTAGTTTTACGTACTCTTCGTACTATAATGATGAAGGTATATGAGACAGAGTATACTAGTAGTACAGTTTTATACTACTCTTCGTGAATATGGTGGTGGAGGAGTGCCCTGTTCCTCGGAGCCAAATGTCATAGAGCCAGGAGCTCTTGAAGATGGAGGGTGCGATGAACCCCGCCTCTCAGCTCCCACAACCTACGAAACATGTTGCGTCCTTTGGGGTTTGGGGTTTAAGATATCAGTTTAGGGTCTAAAAGGGTTTTCCTCCCTTGGGGTTTGGGGTTTAGGATATCAGGTTAGGGTCTAGAAAGGTTTTCCTCCTTTGGGGTTTGGGGTTCAGGATATCAATTTAGGGTCTAGGTTTTAGGCGTTCAGGGTTGAACTAGCGGTTTTGGGTTTAGGGTATCAGTTTAGGGTCTAGGTTTAGGGTTCGCAGGGGTCTAGGGTTTTGGGAGTTTCGGGATTTGGACACCAGTTTAAGGTTAGGGATGGTTTAGGTCTAGGTTTAGGGTTGGCATAGGGTTCTGGGTATAAGATACCAAAACCCTGCACTGTAGTAATCATTTTTTGCTCATCGGCGTAATTTTGGAAACGGTGTTTTGTGGCCAACATCTCGTCGTAAGGGCACAAGGGAAGCCAATGGAGAAGCTACATAGCAAGGTCCAGGTACTGGTTTCTGCTGCGCGAGTATGTGTTATATTTCACAGCTTGATTGTGCCAATTCTGGGGTTGTTATTGCCATCGTTGGCACCTGATATGGGCGTTTCCGGACATAGGGGACCCTAATACAGTACTCTCAATAGTAGGATCCTTATTATAAGGACCCCAAAATAAGGTACCCCTGTCTTCGGAAACTCCCATATGGGTCTTGGGCATGCAGGTTGCGTCTTTAGGGTTTAGGATGTTCGGGTTTCAGGCTTCCCAGGTTCGGTGTTGCGAGCTTCGGGCCTAGGGCAGGCCTCCTGTCGCAAGCCCAACAGATCTTACAATGTCACACCACCATGGATGACTGTGAGGTTTCCCCAAGGCTCCATGTACCTTTATAGTTGATACTTAAGCCTTAGAGTGGTCCCAATATAGTTACTTTAAGGCTAAGTATCTACTATATGGGCACATGGAGCCTTAGGGTTTACCTGCGCCCCAGAAAACCGAATCCTTTAGTGTTCTCTGTTTGGCACGGCTTCTTGGTATAAGCCCTGAAAAAGGTATATAGGTTCTCTGGGGTAGCAGTGTCAGGTTTTTTGAGGTCAAGGCTCCCGCCCCAGACGGCGATCGGAAACCCGAAATAGGATGCAGTGAACCAAGTCTGTGGTTAGGATCCCACAATTACCCAAAAGTTTGGGGTTTGGAGGTCCAAGGAAGTTGAAGGGTCCGTGTGTACTTTGGCACTAAAGTAGCCATTGAACGCACTCAAGGGCGATATATATATATATATATATATATTTATTTATTTATTTATTTATTTATTTATTTATTTATATATATATATATATATATATATATATATTCATTTATTTATTTATTTATTTATTTGTTTATTTATTTGTTTATATGTTGTGAAGGTACATGGACCCTTAGGGCGAAGAGCAACTACCGTTGAAGCTAAAGGTCTGATCATTGCAACTCTGCCCAGGAGCTGCTCAAAGAGCTGCTTCATGCCCAAGGCCTGGGGGAGGGTTTAGGGTTTAGGGTTTAGGTTTAGGGTCTAGGGTTTAGGGTTTAGGGTCCTTTGTTGAGTCCGTCAGTCAGGTGCCATGGGGTCTTTGCTCATGGTTCAGTCAACCCCCCTCTAGACAAAACACCGATTACGGTCGACTCTGTCGCCAGCATCCCACAGGCGAGAACCTTCACATCCAGGAGCAGCTCGTCAATCTGGATGTGGCTGGGCTGCACTTGCTGTTTAAGGTTTTCTGTTTACGGTTTTATACCCAAAGCCCTATAGGCCGTGCACCCGTTTGGAGAAGTGAGGCGGGCTTAGGGTCGTAGGCATGTGGGTGGTTGTCAAAATTATGGTCCCTTTTTGGGTCCCTACTATAATACGGCATCTAATATTTGAGGTACCCAAAAAGGGATCCTAATTTTGACAACTACCCATGTGTGTGTGGAGTTTAAGAAGTCTCCTCCTGGTCGTGTAGGCATGCAGCTTTCTGGCTTTGTTGGATAATATGGGTGGTTAAATTATAGATGATCCCTTTTTGGGTACCCTTGTTATTAGGTGCCGTATTAGAATAAGGACCCCAAAAGGGACCATAATTTTAACAACCACCCATATGGCAGATTGGATGTTGCCCGACCTAGGACTGATGGCTTACCCGACCTAGGACTGATCGCAGTCGAGAACACAACCTGTCAACCTTGCTCACCGGCACTGGGTGTTTACACTTCTTTCACAGGCTGCATTGCGGCATAACCCGAAAAACCTACAACACCAAATCTCTGTAATACCTACTAGTTTAAACCGATCTGGAAGTGCAACACTGATTCGGCACAGCACGAAAGCAGTCGGTCAGTTTACCTTTGCATACAGGCCAGCGTCAGACCTGGTCTCTTGGACATGACTAACCACCGTGCCAATTTTCCAATATCAAGGCCCCTACATGAAATCCTCGTGAAGTACGAAGAGGCTCATAAAAACCCATTCTAGGTCCACCAAAACCCCATGCAGCAGCCTACAAAGCACCTGTCCTCAGGTGAGACTCCCAACATCCAGCTAGACTCCTCAAAACCGCTTCTTCGGGCTCTGCGAGCACCCTTAAACTCGGGTATCATCCTTATTCTGATTTAAGCTCTATTCCTTATAGGAATCTACTTTTCTAGGGTTTCTTTAGTATGATTTACTTAAATGAGTCCTTGAAAAAGTGTGCTATTTGGTGTAAAGGTATTCCTTTACCTGAACCCTAAAGCCCCTAAACCCTAAACCCCCCTAAACCCTAAGCCTTAAACCCTAAACCCTAAAGCCCCCTAAACCCTACACCCTAAACCCTAAAGCCCCCTAAAGCCCTAAACCCTAAACCCTAAACCCCTAAAGCCCCAGCCAAGGAAGTGCTCAGGCTCCTCAAAGCAAAAGGAAAGGACCTGAGCAAGGAGGAGAAAGCGAAGATCAAGGCGGGGTTTAGAGGTTTAGGGGGGGTTAGGGTTTAGGGGGGTTTAGGGTTTAGGGGTTTAGGGTTTGGGGCTTTAGGGGGCTTTAGGGGGCTTTAGGGGGCTTTAGGGGGCTTTAGGGTTTAGGGGGGTTTAGGGTTTAGGGGGGTTAGGGGTTTACTGTTTAGGGTTTAGGGGGGCTTAGAGGTTTATGGGTTAGGGTTTAGGTGTGTAGAGGGTTTTAAGGTTTAGAGGTTTAGGGGTTCGTGAATTTTGGGGTTAAGGGAATTTGGGGTTTTGGGGTTTAGGGTTGGGGGAGTAGGAATAATCTCGGGTTTTGCGACTGTAAATGTACGGTGCCGAGAGCTCAGGGGGTTTAGGGCTCAGGGGTGAGGGTTTAGGTTGGCTAGGTGGGAGGGGTGCTGGTTTAGGGTTTAGGGCTGTGGTATTTGGGATTAGGGTTCAGGGTACAGGAACCCGCTTGGGCGGCAAAAGCTTTTTATCCATTCAGGGTTTCGGATGGTGGTGAAGGGATGTTTCTGTTTCTCTAGTTTTGGGTTTCGGATGGTATGCTACCTGCTGAGGTCTCTACATTAGTGTTTCATGGGGGCCAACGTGTTTCAAGAGGCGTGTGCTTGAACGGATGTTGTGTTTTGTCGGCCTCCCGAGATGATAGTGGCTATACCCACGTGACAATAAAGTCTTTGGGGGAGGTCCTGTCAGACAGTCTGAACCCTGCGCCCCAAAGTCCAAACCTAGAACGTAATCAAGGCCTCGATTCAAGGTACTTCGGTTGAGGATATAAATCCTGCATTACCTTAAGGACCCTAAACTATGGGAATTATGGTATATTCCTTACTATGGGTAATGCAGGATTGATATCATCAACCGTTACTTTGGGCTTCTGGGGCCGATTAGACTATAAACTACTGGAAGCCCCGAAATAGTATAAAGGGAACTCCAGAAAGTTGGAATATGGTTTCAGGGTAGGATACCTTATGATTTACCATAAAGGGGTTACGATAATGATATTCCAACTTTCTGGCTTCTACTGTAGGTAATTTTGAAGGCCCCTATAATCGGAGGGCTCCTCGTAAAACCCGAAGCTCTGTGGCCACACACCGTGAGCCTAAACCCTAAACCTTAAACTCTAAACCTTACACCCTATAAACCCTAAACTTTAAACCCTAAACCTTAAACCCTAAATCCTAAACCCCAAAGCTTAAACCCTAAACCTTAAACCCTAGACCGTGCCGTCGGCACTCCAACTTTGCCAGGGTTTGCTTGGTCCGACAGAAGCTGCGGAAGACCCCTCGGATCCGCAGGCAGGATCATCTTCCTTTGGCTTGGAGAAGTACCTTAACCTACCAAAACCTACTTGTTTGTAGGGTCCCTATGAATTCCATAGTAGGGTTTATAATACGAACCTACATAAAAGTAGGGTTTGGTAGTTTAAGGTAGTGCCGCAAGGATCTGTTTGAGGTTCTCCAATAGCAGGAATCTGTCTGGGGAAGAAACAGCCTGGGGGAGGGCGGGGGGGGGGGGGGGGGCAGTCATTTTTGGGAGGGTGGATAATATCTTGTTCTCTGCGTTTATCATCCGCGGGTTAGGGTCAAGAGCATGCTCATGGCTGTAGCTGTTTTGAAGCATGCCCATGCAATGCGCTGAACCCTAATCTCATCGCAAGTCCGAAGCGTGAGCAAAGCCCTGGTACGGTTGATGATATCCTGCATTACCTTGAGGGCCCTAAACTATGGGAATTATAGTATATTCCTTATTATGGGTAATGCAGGATTTATATCATCAACCGTAACATGCTATAGATGGTCTGATGGGACGAATGACGACAATGGTGCTCATGGCAAACCGATGGTGCGAGGTGGTGACAGGCAAAATGATGGTGGTTGCGGTTGTGGTGATGGCGGCTTTTGATCTTGGTACGTATGATGAAACTGTTGCTGCTGCTGATGATGACGAGGCTGGTGATGGTAAGTGTGATGGTGGTGGTGATGGTTATGGTGGCGACGGTGATGGTCGTGGTGGCGGCGGTGATGGTGCTGGTGGCGGCGGTGATGGAGCTGGTGGTGCTGGTGGTGCTGGTGGTGCTGGTGGTGCTGGTGGTGGTGCTGGTGGTGGTGGCGGCGGCGGTGGTGGTGGCGGCGGCGGTGGTGGCGGCGGTGGTGGTGGCGGCAGTGCTGAGAGCGGCGGCGACGGAGGTGGTGGGGGTGAGGATGTTGGTGATGATTGCGATGTCGCAGACGATGTCGATAAGCCAGCTAGGATAAGATGGGATTACATCACACTAAGGGCGATGGTGGGATTGAGAAAATGACGATTACAACGCAATAGCTATGGCGATGCTGACGACGACGATAGCTATGGCCATGCTGACGACGACGAGGATGACTATGGTGATGACGTTTGTAAAGATGACGATGATTACGAGGATGATGATGACGAGGACGATGTCGAATAATGACAAGAGTGTACAATAATATCATGAATAAAACGGTGATGATGACGATGACTCTGATGCGTTTTGATACGGGTTGAAGCTTTGGTTAGCAGAGTACCAATTTGCTCATTTATCTCTTACGTCTTTGGCAGACTTGCTCGGAGGTTCAAGAGCTGCGGAATGAGAAGCGGCGAATGCGGGGACTGCAGAAGGAGGTCGGCACCGCCGGGATATCGAACTTCATAGACAAAGTCCATGGTAGTTATCGCTTTGACCTTGCAGATAACAGTCTGACTGTGCAAGCACTCTTGTGGACAGGATTATCCCAAGTTCTCCTGAACTCCAGTCTTCAAAGCACAAACTTGGAACGCCAAAGCCTAAAACCGAACCACACGCCCTACCTGGGGCCAACCCATAGGCCCCAAAGTAGTTCCTTTGTGGGATTAACCTTATAGGTTTCTAAATATGAACCCCCGAAAAGGAACTACTTTGGGGCCTTAGGGTATACACCCTGCCCTCAACCCTAAACCCTAAACCCTAAACCCTAAACCCTAAAACCCTAAACCCTAAACCGCCTGAGCAGGTAAAAGACAAGCGAGGGGAGTGGTCTGGCATCGAAGGCGTTTCTCAGGCTCTACAGGGCCTGGGAGAAGGCCCGACCTGGGCTTCATGACTAGTCTAGGATTTTAGGGTTTTAGGCTTGAGGGTTTTAGGGTTCAGGGTTTTAGGGTTTTAGGGTTTAGGGTTTTAGGGTTTACAGGGCTTTGGGTTTAAGGTTTTAGGGTTTCTGTTCCCTTGATTTCGGCACATAGTGCCTTGAGAAGGTTCTGTTAATGCTAAGTGGTGACTTCGGTTATGTAGCCCCGATATCATGGGCGTTTGTCTTGTGTTTCTAACTTTGCTTCGTGAGGGTGTAAGATTGGTTAGACATGAGATCCCCTTATGAACCAATATGCTTGCAGAATTGCAGTGCGTTGAGTTTACCCTAGCAGTCTAAAAACCCTGTATGTTATTGAATAAGTACCACCTATCCAATAAATTGAGGGTTCGTTATTGTGACAACCTTCTTTCCTGCTGACTAACCAGCAAGTTGAGGCGAATGAAGTGGAGTGTAAAGGTGGGCTGCTGGACATGTAGTAGTCCTGTCCACACACAGCTCCTGCTCACGTATACTTTATGGTCCGCGGAATCGCTAGACATCCATTCAAGTGTTAGTCTGAAGTGCTGCATATCCATGCTGACGAGGAGACGTTGAAGTTTCTGGAACAGGCTGCTGTGGCTTACAGCCATTCTCAAGCAGCTGCCCAAATGAGCAAGCAGAGCAGTACGACGAGCCGGCTTCCCCGAGCCTTTGAGCCCGGCAGCCTTGTGATGGTTTGGCATGAGCGCCGATCTGGTGGACGTGGAGGTTGGCGAGGACAGGGCTCTTCTTCGTGAGATCTCCACTGAGCAGCTCCGCGAGCGCTTTTTTAATCAGAGTGACAATCTATAAGAAGCATTCACTTTACTTCCTCCACAGAAGAACCGATCGTTTGGCTCTGGGATCTGAGTTGGTCATGGCTTGCGACCCGAGACCACCAGCCGCAGCTGGTGCTCATGGGGTTCAGGTGCGACTCTTACCCAGACATCGCTGTCCATCCCATCGTATCTTCAATGAGGTGAAGGGGGACGACTGATAGCCTTACTTTTAGTGGCAGTTGTTTGCTTGTTGTCATGCTTCCTGCTGTTCAGTGTAGCATCCTTCAACAATCGTATCTCAAGGCCCTCACCCTAACTAAGCCCACTACCTGGGAGCTTCCGTGGAAGCTCGCCCGACTAAAAGGCAGCAATGCCATGATACCCATAGGCCCCAAAGTAGTTCCTTTTTGGGATTACCTTATAGGATTCTAAAAAAGAACCCCCAAAAGGAAAGCCGAAGTCGTCTTGGATGTAATGTAAAGCCTCTCACAACAAGCCCTCATACAGCCATGGATTCAATCTCCTCTAAACGCCTGAGAGGACGTTCTGATTACTCTCACCGATTCTACCTATAGTCTCCATTGTAGTTCTTTTTTTGGTTTAACCAATTATATATAATTAGGATCCTATAAGGTAACCCCCACAAGGAACTACAATGGAGACTATAGGTAGAGTCTAGAGCACCTCTTCACGTCTAAAGCCCTGAAGACGTCTTAGAAACCTTCAACCCTTCATCCTGAGCCCTCAACCCTACAAGCCGTTAACGTTAACCCTATAGCTATGAACCCTGCAGACCAACCCTCCAAGATCCCTCTGCAAACAATCGTAGCCTCAAAAATCTGTATTTGTTGAGACAGATCCTTGTTCTTGTGTTTCCTTATGTAAAACAACTCAAGTCAAAATCCTAGACAACCAAAAGCAATGTAGGTTCCGTAGGTACTAGGGATATCTCCTTCGAGTGATCCAGTGATCCCTGGCAGGTGTCAACCCTTTCGATGTCTTGCGCAAGGCCTCCCGTTTAGGGTTTCAGGTGTCGTTGTTTGTTGTTGTTTTTTCGGGGTTTAAGGTTTTTGGGATTCGTCTCGAGATGTCGACTTTCTGAAGTCGTTACTGTTTTTTGAGCCCGCTTTACCCCAACGGGGCTTCAAGGGCCTCGGCTACATGCGGATCCTCGGTATTTTGGGGCTGCTTAGCTCGCACGCAACCCTGAACTTTAATCCTGAAACCCTAAAGCTTTTGTGAAGATATAGAGTTAACCTCCGTTGTGACAGAATTTCCAGGTCTAGGAGTCGGGGGTTGCGGCTTAGGTTTGGCGTCTAGAGGTCGTTTTGTAGGTTGCGATTTAACCCCAAGGGTCCAAGTACCCAATAATCATATACTCTCCAAAATCATAACCTACATAACTAATAGCCTAAAACCGAGTACCTGATTATTGGGTCCTTTGGACCCTTGGGGTAAGTTGTGTGGGAGTTTGGGGTTGAGGGTTCATGGGACGCTTGTCGATTTCTGGTTCTGGTGCCACTGATCTAGCTAAGGGCTTCGGCCGCACTTGTCGGTTTGACGAGTTCTTTCGGGTTTATCTAGGCCTTACCTGGACCCCACAGAACCTACCTTTTAAGGCTCCTTATTCTGATTCAGTCTGATTTCCTTATATACGTCCTTAAAACCGGCAGGTTAAAGATAAGGAGCAGGGATACTACTGCGCATCCTCGAAGTCGCAACATGGTAAAAGAGGGCTCGTAGTGATTCGCAGGTTTGTCATCTTATAGTCTCTGTGTAAGGTCAAAGCCAGAAAGTTGGAATATGATTATCCTAACCCTTCTATGGTAAATTATAGGGTATCCTACCAAGAAACCATATTCCAACTTTCTGGAGTTCCCTGTAGCCTCAGTAGAATACACCACCCCCCCCCCCCCCCCCCCAAGCGGTCCGAAGGCCAGAATGCTGAAGTTTATAGTCTTTGAGGTAAAGAATTCTTATGAATTAGCTATTAGTTCATAACCATGTCAGAGCCCTTTAAGGGATCCCCTAAAGAAACCCCATTCGACCCCCCTAAGCTACACCCACCAACCCGAAACTTTTGCGAGACCTGCACAAGCCAATGTCTCCACCAGCGGCAAAAACAGCAAACATGACAGCCGCTGAGATGGTTTAGGCGGAGTGCAGAAGCATTCCGCCTAGCTCAAGCCGTTGTCGGTCTATGAGGCACGGTGCAAAATCTGCCATTCTGGCGATTCGTATGTTGTCGTGTCGCAAATCAGTTGTTCAATGCCCCCATGGTGTGGGCCGCCGAGACGATGCTTTGAAGACCGGTGAGGCTCGCGGCCGCTTTTCCGCCAAGATTTGTTTGGGGAGCTTGCTTGCATGTGCAGTGTTTGAAAACAGGCTGTATAGGGTTTAGGGTTAAGAGTTAAATCCTTAAATCCCTACATAAACCCTAAACCCCTTGCATAAAGCCCTGAACCCGTAGTCGAGGTGCGGATGATTAACGCTGCCACAGCGAGACAGAATTCCTCGGAGGAGAACAGCCCAGGCGCTCTCGGTTCAGGGCCGGTTTGGGGGGTCTGGGATGGATTTAGGGTTTCGGGTACGGGTGTGCGATTTGCTGTTGGGATCGGGTGTTCTTTGCTTCTTGAACGTACTGAGTGTCAGGAGGAGGGCATCGGGGTCGAGGTGTTAAAACTCCGCCGGTTGAAATTATCCTAAGTATCGATTCGGGATACTTTCAACTTCCGCTTGTTGTTAAAATAGACCCCTCATTATAAAAACCCTAAGCCCTAAACCCTAAGTTTTGGGGTCCCGCGGGGAGGGTTCAGGCGAGCTAGGACATGAGTCCGGGTGTCGGTATACAGATTCTGGCATTACCTTAAGGACCCTAAACGATGGGAATTATGGTATAATCCTTATTATGGGTCATGCAGGATTTATATCATCAACCGTAGTGTCGGTATACAGATTCTGGCATAGAGCCGGGCAGCTCTGCCGAGACCAAATATGGCATGGGCAAAAGTGGCTATCGTATGGTATACACTTTTGACAGTTTTGACTTGTCTTTGAACTTAAAGCATGTATCTTTACATGATATGTGATAAATGACATATGGCATATGGTACATAAACTTGTGGGCCATGCCCGCTATTCGAACCTGGAGCACGGAACCAATCCCAAATCCGAAGTCCTACACCATACATTTTTCGGGCTTTGGTTCCCCATATAATTCTTTCAAGCAGCCCCGAAGCCTAAACCAATGTTTTCTCTGCCTCGCCGTGCCAGCTCACCGCACCACCACCCATCCAGAGTTGGCGACCCTCCAGGCCCAATTGTTCTTCAGGGGTTTGGGGGTCATGCTGGTTCAGGATTTAGGTGTGTCGGGCGGTTTAGGGCCCAGGTTTTTGAGAGGTTCCTAAAGTTCTTGAGCATTTCGTATTGTGCACGGTTTGCTATGTCATGCTTTTGGCGTAAGATCACTTATGGCATTTTTAATGGCTTCTGTTCGCGTGAATTAGGGTTTTTCTGGATTGCACAGGTTTCTGAAGGTTTTTTCACGTGGCAGACCATGGCCTAACGGCCTCGCGAGTAGCAGAACAAAGCATGGACCGTATGGTTCCAGGTATACACATAATACCTGCTTTGGGGTCTACAGTCCTTGCATAGTACCTGCTTCGGGCCATTCAGAGCCTCAAAGAATAGCTTCGGCTTCGGGGAGCTTTTCGATTTGTAGTTGCACCGTTTTTTCCCGAAGGCTTGCAATCCTTACCGGAATGGGCTTACTAAGTTTTACGTATCCTATATAGGGTTTTTCGTCGGAATATACTACGATGGCATTACCATGATTTGCGCCAAGCATTCCCCATTGGTCTTAGGACCCCCGTGGGTTAAGCCTGAGGACCGTGGGCCTTAGATAGTATGTAACATAAATTTCGGCCCCGAGATACTTGCAGAGAAACTCCCTTTAGAGGCTGAAGTGCATACTCGTTCGGTACATGGCCGCCCGCCGAGACAACGTCGCTAAACCGCGTAGAACCCTTGGAAATCGTTCTATAGCACGTCACAAACTGCTTCCACAGCTTGAGAGCCCTTACAACAGCTTGTAAGGCCCTTGAAAGGAACCTTGCATACTTTCCGAGTTTTCGGACAGGCTGCAGCAATGGCAGCCCGAGTCAGGGATGCGCGCAATCAGAAGATGGAGGAGGAAGGGTGCGCGGCCCTGCGGTGTAGAGCTTGTAACTTGTGGTTTCAGGGCTTTAGATTTTACAAACCTACACCCTCAACCTCTAAGCCCCTGAACCCCTAAACCCTAAACCTTTAAGGTAGCCCTTTGAGGCTCTGGGCTTAGGGGCCGAAACCAGTGGAGTTTGCGAGTTGTGCCGGGCGAAATGGCTCGGTCAGTCTTAGAGCATCTTCCAGCTGCAACCACCGTCGTCAGTTTAGGGTTAATACCCAGACCCCCGGGAGGAACCAAAAAGTAGATCCCGTAATGGGGCTCCTATAAAGTACCCTTAGTAGTATAGGGCCCCAAATTAGAGGATCTACTTTCTGGATCCTCCCGGGGTCTGGGTACAGGGGCCTTATAGTACTTAACTTAACTCTTTCGGGGGGTCCTGATTATAAACATAGTATAATGAGCCCCCAAATTCCTATTGTAATCATTAACGTCCCTATATGTTAGTTTTTGGGTTGGCGGTGCGGTGGGCGTAGCGTCACTATGTGAATGGGTGAAGGCGGCCCCACAGCTAAGTTTGCAACCCGAAACCTTAAACCCTGAACCATGTGACAACAATACTATTAGCGGCCGCAGTAATCAGAATGAGGTTTTGGGCCCATTATACTATAATCCCCAAATAGTATAGGTAGTCATTAAGGCCCGTGTGTGTGTGTGTATATATATATATATATATATATATATATATATATATATATATATTGTATGTATGTATATATATGTATTTTATAGAAAACTCACGAATCGCACATTGATGTAGAGTTGCAACCCGTGGGAGGGCCGACGTCATGAGCCGGATGCTTGGCATTGGTCCGAGATCCGTAGTCTTCCTAAACCCTAAACCCCTAAACCCTAATTCCCCTAAACCCTAATCCCCTCGAAGCATGCCCACTCCTCCACGGGTCCAGGGGTTAAGTCTCCATGACACATTTGCATCTTCCAGAGCCTCTCAAAACGCCCGGAAGCTTCAACCCTACGTGCCCCTTGAGTAAGGAATATTCCTTAAATCTTAGTAGGGATCCTACTATGATTATAAGCTCATCTTCCTTAATTAAGGGATATTGGAGTCTCTGGGCCCAAACGTTGCAAACCTGAATAGAACGAAGGTTTACACTCACGCCCGGAAGCAGCCCGCGCACGCCCGGTGCTACCAGCCGCGGCCGCAGAATGTCTTCTGCAGGGTTCTCCTCGCTTTGCATGTGACCGTAGCTGCTAGGAGTCTGATGAACTTACATGACCATAAGCACATGCTAAGGGAACTATCATGACAGAATCTGATGCAGCATTGCTTGAATGCCAATGCTACTGGTATACCTGAAGATTGCATTGTGCTGCCGATTTGATGGCTAGGCCTACTAACGAGGCACCTGGACAAACGGAGCCGGAGGGGCAACCTTGAAAACCTGCAGCCGTCGTTCCCACAACTCTAAACCCTAAAATGGCAAGACTCCCAGGTAAGCCCTGAGAAAGCCATAGAGTCTAACCCCGAGGTGGTAAGCCCTAAGTCCTGAGTCTGATCTCACCAACCCCAAATAAGTAAAGCCGTGTAGTCCTTTTGGTAGACGGGCTCCACGTGAGGGGCCACAAGCTTTCGAACCATTCTGATCTCCGACTCTTGGCCCCAGGTCTAACATGTAGCTCTGTCTGAACAAAGCATATCTGACAGTTCGAACTATACGATATATCCCTTAACCGTAATCGGTAAGTTAGCAAGCTTAGCTTACTGCGTTGGGGAGATGTATTGGTTGAGCAGTAGTATGCCAAGCCATGTGGAAGCACAGAATCCCCTGGCCCCTGCATGTGCCGATCCCATCAAACGATCCCCAGCTAGTTATGCCTTAATTAATCCCTAAAGGTCCATGTACCCATATAGGGATACATGGGCCCAAAGTACCTATATAGGGACTACATTAAGGCCAATGTATGTACTATATGAGTACATGGACCCTTTGGGAATTTTCGGGTTTACGGAGTTTATGGTCATAAACCCCGAAACTCGCAAACTCTGAAGCCTTAGATCCCAGAACCTCAACCCTAAGCCACTGCCTCGGCTCCAGCACCAGTTCCGATCATGGGACTTGCGGTTGATGATATAAATTCTGCATGACCCATAATGAGGGGTATACCATAATTTCCATATTTTAGGGTCCTTAAGGTAATGCACGATTTATGTCATCAACCGTAGTAAGCAAGGCTAGAAGTACCATAATTGGGGTTATAAGTATAGTTACCCTACTAACAGCCCTAGTTACTAAGTCCCATGATCCTTAAACCCTAAACACCCATGATAGATCCCTTATAGATCCCTTTAAGGAACCCTTTAAGGAACCATCTAAGCTACTAAGTCCCATGATCCTTTCAGTCAGAGGCGCCGCGCAGCTATTGAGAGATGCCGTCAGTGCGGTGTCGGCCGCGAAAGCCAAAGCAGGCTGGTGATTTGCAAACGCCCTGGAATGAAATCCCTCAGCCCTGCCCCCAAACCAAACCCCTAAGACTCCAAGTATACAAATGCTACCTACTTTGCGGTCTAACGTCTATAAATGCTACCTACGTTGGGCTATTTGGAGTCTTAGGGAATTCCTGCAAACCAAGCTTAATCATTAGAACCAATAAGATGGCTCAATGATTGGGCGCCTCTTTGATTAAGCGTACATATCTAGCTTTCCACAGCTTTTCGCAGGAATCTGCAAGAAACTAAGCAAAACCTACGACAAGCTAAGAGAAGCTAAGAGAAGCTAAGGGAAACTAAGATAAGCTACGGGTTTCCTGTATTGAAGTATGTCCTGGGCTGGGAAGCTACGGATTTCCTGTGGTACAGTGTGCCCTTGAAGGGCCTGTAACAAGTGAAGACACAGCAGGAAACTACAGGTGGGTGTTATTTATTCCTAGCAGTCGGAGGCGGGCTTTGACTTCTGTTTGTGCCGGCAATCCACTGCCGATCCGTCGGCCATAGCGCCTAAATGCATTTGTTTCAGGAGGTTCTTTGGCTCAGACCCCGAACTGCTAATATTTTCGTACGATCGGAATCCGCTCTTCTAGGCAAGGCTACCAAAAGCTAGACAAAGCTAGAACAAGCTAGAAAAGGCTAGCGAAAGCTAGAAAAAGCTAGAAGAGGCTAGCGAAAGCTAGATAAAGCTAGAAAAAGCTAGATTTTTCCTGGGTTCCGGGCAAGCCCCAGGGCCAGAGTATCAGAGGAGACCGGGATTTCACTAAAGGAATATCACAGATCACCATGGAATATCACGGAATGCCGAGTTTTCGACAATGGAATGTCACAGAATACCGGGTTTTCAGCAAAGGAATGTCACAGAACACCAGGTCTTCAACAACGGAATGTCACAGAATACCAGGTTTGCAGCGGAGGAGCTATCTAGCTCCCTTTACTCGTGCTCCGAGCCCAAAGAGGGACCCCATCATGGAGCCATCTTATTGGCACTCCAGACTTAAGCGCTAAACCCTCAACCCAACCGGCCCTCAACACGGACAAAGGCAACAAGCATGCCGCATGCCCATCGAACCATCATTGGCGAGGAAACTCGATTTAGGGTTTGAGGGTTTGGAGGTCTGGGATTTTTGGTTTAGGGCTTCGATCTAGAGTTTGGTGCTTAAGGTTAAGGGTTTGGCTTAGGGCCTAGGTTTGGGGCGTATAGAGGCTTCTAAAGGCCACAGAGTTTAGCCAGTGGCTTATAAATTTTAAACGTTCGAGTCTACGGGGCTCACAATCTAGTATGAGGTCGCCTTTTTATCTTGAAACTTTCCTAATCTGTACAAACCATACCTAGACCCTCCATCCACCCTTTATCAGAGCTTATAACGACCCGTTCTTTGAGACCATATACCGTCATTTGAGAGTACCAGGAAGGTACTGGTACAGCAAGCCGGAAATTAGACCCCGAACCTAAACCCTAAACCCCAAACCCTAAACCCTATAAATTCAAAAGCGGGAAGGCCGGCCAGGCGGCTCTCGCAGAGCCAGCGCATCTGACTTGGTCTCCCTGAATGCGGGGAGCCACCGGGGGGGGGGGGGGCGGGGGGGGGCAAACTCTAAACCCTAAGCCTCTGAACCCTAAACCCTAACCCCTTGGCGGTAATGGATTGGGCTTTGGGGTTCGTTGAGGTTCCGGATCTGGCCGTTGCTGCTCTTGGGTTGTGTGTTCGTTGGCGCGTATGTGCAGAATGCATAGGATAGATGGAATATGGAGTTTGTGTTGTGGATTGGGGCTTCGGGCATGTCGATCTGTGTTTGTGTTTACACACAGTACATACATGCCTACGTACGTACATACATACATACGTTCAGAGTTTGTTCCTGACCCGCGTATCTGGGTTGTGCTCTCTCTGTCTCTGTCTGCATTATGTTGTTTGGCGTTGTTTTTTATTCTGTTTGTTTCTCTCTCTCTCTCTCTCTCTCTCCCTATCTCTCAGACTCTCGTGTGATGTGATTCTCATGTCATGGGCATCGCAAAACCGAAGAAGGATCAAGTCAAGAATCCCACGCCCCGGCCCAATCCCAGGAAAACTCGGGGTGCTTTAATATAGGGGCCTTCATAAAATCGGGCTTGGGGGCCCTTTGTACTATAACTATAATCGGGAACCCCCGAAATAGGGCCCTGTAGATTATGTAGCTAGGGCTCCGTCTATGCAGCGTTCTCGGACACCCGATCGCTAGTCAAAATGCAAGGCTTCAGCCAAAGGCCTACAAACCCATTCTAAACCCCCCAAAGCCCAGCAGCCTAAACCCCTGCATCTTCCATTCGATGCTGCCCATCCTCGAAGCCTAAAGACGTGTAGAACCCCTGTTGAGGCCTTGCAATTCCCGAAGATTTGTGACATGAAGTAATTGGGGAATACTTACCCAAACCATAATGGCAAATTACGTTCTACTAGACAGGTACTTAGAACCTTGGGTAAGCCCAAACCTGAGTTCGGCACCGAGGTGCCCATGCACGTCGCCATCAACCTGAGAAGACGTCAGAGTCTTGCTGCAGGCACTCAAGTAGCCGTACAGTATACGTTTGGGCCTTGAATGACCCATATAGGGATTATTGTAATGCCCAAGTATATACTACATGTGTACATGGACACCCATGGCATTATAAATCGCTAGGTTTTTGTTTGTAGTACCCTTTCGGCCTTCTTACATCGTCTTAATTTGGGGTCTCCTTGCTAAAACCAGGTAGGTAGGGTTCGATCTGCAGCAGTAGCTGCGGCCTCCGCCACTCTTCCCCGCCCAGCATCTCCGGGGACCTCCGTCCTTGCCAAAACCAAATGTATAACGAGAAGAGGGTACACTTAGTACGTGCAGGGTTGGGGTGTTACAGATCAATGAACCCGTTTGTCCAAAATGATTATACTCATATTATAGTAACCCCATACCACCGGCACTCGAAGAAAGGGGGGGTTATTCATCAGGGGTCCACATTCTGGCAGAACGGGCAGGCATGAAAGCCGCTGCGCAAGATCAGAGCAACACCAGGCCAGAGTTGAGGGTGCGTATTATAGGGGCCTTAACAATTGCCTGTACTAAGGGTTCCTTTCAAAGGTTCAAAAGGGGTCTACAAGGATTACCAAAAGGGGTATTATGGGGGTTAAGATGGGGCCTTCATGGTACTAGTTGGGGGGGGTCCCTTACTATAGTCATAGTATGATATACCCCAAAACCTTATCCTATGTCCATACCCTATTGGAGGTTCATGGTTAGTTATATGTGGGGTGATATGTACGATGAGTATAGTTTGTAACGTCATCACCCTAATGCCCTACCCACTGGGGGTTCATGGTTCGGTCTAAGTGGGGTTTATAGGTCCCCTCATGAGGGTCATGGCTATGGTTATCCTACTTATACCACAATTTTGACTACACATGAACCTCCAAGTAATGCTTCAACGGCTCACATGTCGAGGCTTTCGTGCCTATAGCTCGAACCCAATTCATTACACAGCTGCTGGGCTGTTTTTTGAGTATTAGGCATGGGAGGTAGATTCAGGTCTCCGACAGGATCGACAGGACGTCTACAGACTGCGAATCGCGGGGTACTGCATTCTATACGCTGCTTCAGCAGCAATAGCAACAATATTAGCAATCATCATCTTCATCATCATCATCATAAAACCCTAAACCCTAAACCATAAACCATAACCTTGCAGGCCCGCATGTCTCCAACCCAAATCCCATACCACACTTGAAGCATCTCAAGTTGCATGTGAGCCACAGTCGTTAGACCATACCGTTTCCGTCCTGACCCAAGCCTCGAGAAACCCAAATCTCCACTCCTTAACCCTAAACCCTAAACCCTAAACCCTAAACCCTAAACCCTACCATCTTCGACGGAAGCGGCCCGAAAGCAAAACAGCCTCAGCCCAATACTTTCAAAGAAGCCAGCAGCCCAGCCCGAAACCCCGACCCTCAAGCCCTCAATCCTCTCCACAGAAGCCCTGACATTGCACCTCCGTCAAATCAGAGAGCCTAGTGGGGAGTTTCCGAAAATATGGGACCCTAATACAGTACCCAAAATAGTAGGACCCTTATTATAAGGACCCCAGAATAAGGTACCCCTAATTTTCGGAAGCCCCCAGTTGAGTTTTGGGCCTGGGATGTAATGCTGAGCTGCGGGTTCCTGACTTCCATCGCTTTTGGGGCTCGGGTCTAGAGTGATAGGGTTTACACAAGTTTTGGGGTTTTGGGTTTTGTAACTTTCGTAGGATTTTGGTGTTTAGGGTCCGGATTGTGGTGTTCGCAGGGATTGAAGTTTAGGGATCTAGGTAATGAGTTTTCCCAAACCCCCTGATTTCAGAGGCGGAACGACGCACAGGTGCTGGCGATTAGCGAAGCTTGGATTGGTTTAGCCTTTAAGTACAAAGTCGGGTTTAGGGCTTAGGGTGTTCCGGCTTAGGGTTAAGGGTTTAGGGCTTAGGGTGTTCCGGCTTGGGTATGTATCCCCAATGGAAGTATTAGGACCCTTAGCGTAGATAGGAAGTGCTTATTTGTTGCTAGGGTGCGTGTGTGTGTGTGTGTGTGTGTGTGATACGGGTTTGCGGTGCAGTGATTGAAAACATGTGGGTAGTTGTCGAAATTATGGCCCCGTTTTGTCCACGCAATTTTCTGGTGTCTACAAAGTAGGTGTTCTCACTATATAAGAAAGGGTGTTGGGGTATGCATGTTTGCTTGGTCGTCTTCGTAAGTGTGTTGTTCGGTCACAGCTTTCTCTGGGTCGTCTTCGTAAGCATGGTGTTGGGTGCCAACCCTCTCCCAACCCTCTCCCAACCCACCCAACCCACTCCAACCTCGCAACCTCCTCCCAACCCTCTCCCAACCCCACTCCCAACCTCCTCCCAGCCCACTCCCAAACCTCCTCCCAACCCACTCCCAACCTCCTCCCAACCTCCTCCCAACCCACTCCCAACCTCCTCCCAACCCACTCCCAACCTCCTCCCAACCCACTCCCAACCTCCTCCCAACCCACTTCCTTCCAACCCACTCCCAACCTCCTCTCCTCCTAACCCACTCCCAACCTCCTCCCAACCTCCTCCCAACCCACTCCCAACCTCCTCCCAACCCACTCCCAACCTCCTCCCAACCCACTCCCAACCTCCTCCCAACCCACTCCCAACCTCCTCCCAACCCACTCCCAACCTCCTCTTAGACTCGTGGGAGGTTCCAGTGTTTCGAAATGGCCGGGCATTGCATCTCACAAGTCCTACAAGCCCCAGCTACAGTAAGAGACTAAGGTCAGCGCAAGCGCCGCAATGGGCATCCGACCTGTCCTCAATTGGGCTTCAGCCTCGGATTCTGAATGTTTCTCATCCTTTTCATTAAGGGTATTCACGTGGCATTCGTGACAGATGTAGAGGGGCTCTTATGGGCAAGTCAACGACCCTGCGTTGTTGTTGAACTCGGGCAATTGAAACAGTAGCGAAAGAGGAGTCATCTGCGACTTTCCGACATGTTCGTCCTGGAATGGTGCAAAAACTGAAGTCCAACTTGGACGTTCACCGCAGGCTTGCTTGCGTTTTCGGCTGAAGGCTCTAAGGTTGCGGAACTCGGCTAGATGGTCTCTAACGTCTCGATGATTTGAGACACTTTCGGGTGTCAGCATATGTACTGCTGGTGGCTGACGGCTGCCATGCTTTTGTGGAGGGGGTCGATCTGCAAAGTTTGGCTTGGTGACATCAGCCGTCTTTGAATGGCTGGACGGATGCGGTGAACCACCCCGTGCACTCAGTCAGACAAGGAGCCTTTTTGCCCCTCAGGGCTTGCGCTGACAGACTTTACAATTCTAGGAAGGACCGGTGTCCGGATCAGGGCAAGCCTCTCACCCTCGCACCAGCTGCTTGTAGAGGCGTTGCCGGAGCCTTCGGGGCCCCTAAGTACCCCTCGACCGAAAACATATAGGATGCATAAGGCGTAATATCTTGAACTCGTTTGGCCCGAGACCTTTCCCGGTGTTCTTGGAGAGGTTCCATCTCCGCTGGGCGAGGACGTGGAAGATGCACGCCTGGTAGCATCGTGAGACTGTCCGAAGTCCTAAGTCTCGCCCGTTCCTTGTGTTCTTTGGCTTCGAGGATCTTACGCATGAGGTTGAGGGCCGCTGCAAGCTGACATTGCGAGGTCACTGAAACTGAGGAGCTTACGTCGGCTCTCTGGACAGGTGGTTCACTTTGTATGGTGCGAAGTTTGGATCTAGCAGGACTCGATACTTCCACTCAACCTCCTCCCAACCCACTCCCAACCTCCAACCCACTCCCAACCTCCTCCCAACCCACTCCCAACCTCCTCCCCACCCTCTCCCAGCCCTCTACCCAACCCTCTACCCAACCCACCACTCCCAACCTACTCACTCTCCAGTCTAAGCCAAACGCCAAACTGGGCCTTCTTCCGGATGCAGGTCCGAATTCTTTTTGGGCAAGTAGCGGGGTCGTCTTCGGGAGGGTGGTTCGGGCTTCCTTAAGAATCCGGGTCGGCTTGGGGAGGGGCCCAAGTGCCGGCTTCAGCAGTTTTCTTCTTTAGTGCGCCCAACCCACTCCCCAGCTGCTCCCAACTACATAACTCCCAACCCACTCCCCAAGCTCTCCCCAGCTGCCCCCGAAGCAATCACATCGCGGACGCATCCTCTTATTTACTGAGAACACCTCCGCCGTAAACACCAGAAGTATCCCCTGATTTTGGGTGCCCTAAATATTAGGTGCCGTACTATAATAGGGACCCGAAATTGGACCCTCATTTTGACAACCACCCATGTGGCCACAAAGGAACCTCAACATGATTTTGCATCGAACCAGCGTCCTTACTTAGAAAACTCCCGCCGTTTGTATAGCAAGGGCGGTTTCTTCAGTTCACCTATTTACCAGATAAACTGTGACCCAAACCCTAAACCCTAAACTGTGGTACGGCTGTTCGGATTACGGGGACTTGCAGAGCCATCTCCACAAGCTGGTCTACGATTTGGCATTTGGGGCCGATTAACCCTACCTTAACCCTGAATAACCTACCTTTTCAGGGTCCCTTCTTGTGATTTCCTTATATAAATCCTAAAAAAGGTGGGTCCTTCAGGGTTAAGATTAACCCTAAGCCGTTTCCAAGGGTTTAGACTTTGGGCTTCTCGACTTCGTTGCATTCGCCCTTCCGCCGAGACCATGAGCAACTCCTCGCAGGCTCTGGGGGGGGGGGGACTCCAGCTGTGTTGGGGTATGGGGTTTAGGGTTTAATTAGGGTTTGGCTGTTAAATCGAAGGTGTTGGCTGCCGTGACTCCTAAGCCCTAAGACCGCAATCCCCACAGCCTCTTCACCGTTTAACCTTAAGGTTACGCCGCAACCCCGCAACCCCAACCTAACCCCTACTTGGAGGGTCGGGGGACTTAGTAAGTATGTAGTAAGTAGACTTATAAGTACCCTAAAAGGGACCCTAATTGGGGTTATGGTACTTATAGTACTTATAAGTCCCTAAAATAACCAGTTACTGAGTCCCCCGACCCTCCAAGTACAGAGAGACTCGCCACTGAAGCCTTGGTCCCGACAGTAAACCCAACACGCCTCGGCCTAGCAGTCGGATATCGGGTGCGAACGGCGCCCTTGAAGCGCTGAGCGATAAGGGTTTCAGGCTTAAGATTTCGGGGGGGAGCGTTTTAGGGTAATAGTTTTCCTATTTTCACAGGCTTCAAAATTCGGAGCTTGAAGGTTTTAGGACTTACAGCGAACGACCAGTCCCTAGATTTTAATTCTGGGATTTTAGGCAAGACAGGCTTCGGAGGCGTTGGCTCGTTCGGTGCGTGGAATGCGCAGAATTTGAGTTCTACACGACAGTTACTTGTTTTTTGGCTTTTGCTGCGGTGCTGGCAACCTGGCTTCGATCGTCTCCTTAGGATGTTTTTAGGTTTTGTTCATATAAGACCCAAGAGAGTATTAAAAACATATTATGTTCATTATGGTTCTAGGGGGGTATAGGCTTAAAACATGTGGGTTTCAGGGCTGAAGCATGTCCCCGGTAATGCTTGCTCAATCTGGCCCTGATCAGGGCTCCATGAGGCGGTCGGAGAGCTCCTCCGGCTCTCTCAATGATGTAGGGTTTACGGCTTATAGAGTGTAGGGTTTATGGCTTATAGGGATTATGGGGTTTATAGGGTTTAGGGTTTTTAGGGTTTAGGGTTCCGGTTGGGTGCCATGTTTCTATATGGGAGGACCCCTCCTCGACCCTGGCCCTAAATCCAAAGCTTCCGGCAGTTTGGGGTCGCAGGCTATAACACGCACCCCGAGCCCAAATCATTTAGCAGAAATTTGCAGACCGAAGGTTTACAGGCTTTGACTCGGCCCCAAATCAAAAGTGTTAGGCCCTGACTATTTTGTGGTCAGACTTTTGGTGTCTACGTTAATTTGCAGGCTCAGGATTTACAGTTTATGAAAAGCCTTAGCCACGCACCAGATGCGGATCAAATGCACGACATTTACCAGTCATGCAAATTCATTCAATATTTCAGCTTTTTTATCAGCCTGAAAACATGCCCTCCTGAAGAAACAACCTCAAGTGCACTAATGAGTTGTGCACTTCACTGTATGTCTTAGGTTCTCCAACACATCGTGTGCGTCTTCACGGCAGCCATTGATCTCAAGCTAACAACCCCTCGTGTTTTTCTTTCTGTGGCATCCTCGGAAAACGATTCTGTAGGACTAGTTGCTTGCCTTTATCGTTCCAGGTCGATATCGACATGGCCGCTTTGCCAGGCCACAAACCCAGAGCTCCACTTTTTCCTGATCTTAGTTTCCGTCGTTGCGTCAGGCCCGATCTACGCGATGCCAGTGGTGCCGATTGAGATTCAAGACGGTGAGCCGGCTTTCGAGTCGCCGCCTCAGATATTAATAACCTTCAATAGTCTAACCGTCAGGGTTTCTCTTGGTTCCAACTTAGGTTTCCCAGATGGTGGAGCTGGACTCATGCTAACGAGGCCTTGGGGGGGGGGGGGGGGGGCAACATAGACGATTTCTAGAAGATTTCGTGGGCAGGTTTATGACCGCGAGAAGGAGTTCTTGTCCACCGTCGCGGAAGGCTTGGCTTTCATGCAACTGTTAGCTGATTTTTTCCTTGTCCTGTCGCCAGATGATTTGATTTACGAGGCTTACGAGAAGGCAGGATAAGAGCAGCGTTGAACGTGAACATTTTTAGTTGTTTGAGGTGCGGGATTGGCCATGCTCCAGCAAGGACAAGTACGTGGAAGTCACACAAATGGTGATGGAGCACGGCCAAGGCCGGATGCTTACATTCGTATTGTTTCTTTCGCAAGTGCGCTTGGCAGGGTTTTGGAATGGTGTGCAGAATGGATCGGCATTGGTGTGCGAGGGCCTTATCGTCACGATTGCTAGTGTGTTCACGCCTGTTCGCTTAGGCGCCGACTGACCAAGCGCGGAGTGCCACAACACTTGATTTACAAGCACATGCGGAAACCGTGCATCAAGCGTCGGGCACTCAGTCTTAGTTAAGTTTCACATGAGAGCCGGAAGAGTTTGCACATCAGGACGCCGCACGAGCTGAAGGCAGATCGGCATTCCGCGGCTATGAAAACAGCGAGAATGTGTTTCGTTATATGTTGATTACAGAGGTTTCAAACATAGTCGATGCGTGTCTAGTTTATCGCACATACAACCATTCACGACGCACGAACATGTTATACATGTACATACACATACATGCATAAAGGTGTACTTGCATATTCAATTGTTTTGCACGAGGTATACATACACATATAACATATAGATATATTAATATAAACAAATATAAATATATACATATATATATATGATTTAGCAAGTTTCTACATTTTGCATGCCGCTATTTCCAACTTAGATAAAGTGATAATCTGGGGTTCGTTGATTAAGAATGCGAATATGACTACGTGAAACAAGTGTTAAGACTACGTTACCGACTAGATTTGGAACATACGATTTTTTTGCGATGCGAAATATGTTTATTCGCACGAATCGATTTTATTGAGTCTTGTCTTTCTCGTATACTTGTCCCGTATATATATATATATATAACTTGTACGAGGGGCAAATCCGAAATCAATGTTTGGCGACAGACTTGCATTCGGCTGTCCGGCTCTCTGTCCGGAACCTCCGTTTGATTTTTGCACTTCCGTTCATGATCTACCGATCTTCCACTGCGCCAATCCCATGCTACGTGCTGTGTGAGACCTTCGCATCAATTGAATGCGCGAATCCGCCATCTAGTCCGCGAGTCGGTCCCAAACCTTCTTCTGTTCATTCCTTCCGGCCTTCATGCCTTCCTCCCATTTTTTTTCATTCTGTCCGGCAGTCTGTGTTTCCTTCCTTCAATCATCACAAGCATCCGCCAGATCAGCAAGCTGAGGTGGGGGTGGGCATCCTGGCCCCACAGCCCGTCCCGCCGAGCCGCGCTGCTCGGCGAGCTTCGCGAGGAAGCCGAGCGGCATGGACACCGGCTGACGGAGGCATTTCGAGATGGGTATATATACACATATATACTGTATATTTATATATGCATATATACATATATATATATATATACATATATATATATATATGATTTGGCAAGTTTTCTACACTTTACGTGTCGCTATTTTGTATTTAGATGTAGTGATAGTCTGCGGTTCGTTGATTAAGTCAGCGAGTCTGACTACGTGAAACAGGTGCTAAGACGGAACGTACGATTTCTTTGCGATTAGAAATACAGCTTTTCGTAGAATGCAATTATATTGGAATTTTGTCTGTCTCGTATTTGTCCTGTGTTCATCGTCGTTGTCCTAGCCGTGGTGCTTGTTAAGTAGTTTAGAGTTCCGTCGTCGCTCTGTCTTCTTTGTCGTCATTCCCGCTGGGGCAAACCGGGTTACCAACCCCGCTGCCTGGGAAGCCGCGGCAGCATCCCTTCCCTCGGGAAGGCGGGCTGACCTTCCCGGGACATCCTGATGTCCCAAGGGTCGGGAGAGCCGTCATTAACGATTTCAGACGATGGTCCGGAATCAAAGTTGCAGCAATGAGCTACATACGACCCTAAAGACTACTAAACTTGGGTGCGGCCCCCACTTAGTAGTTCAATAATATTCCTGATATAGATATAGATATAGTAGGACCTTAGTAGTAGCCCTAGTATAGACTTTTACTGTATGGGCGCAGTACCTAGTACTAAACCCTGAACCCTACACCCGAGACCCGAAAAGCCAACAGTCGAAGAGGCGAACACCTCTTCGGCCACGGCACGCCCACAAGGCAGCAATTAGGATTGCAGGCGTTCCTTTCAGGGTTTCTTGTTTGTGGTTATTTATAAGGTTTTGTCGGTTGGCTTTTTGGGTTTCAGGCTTCAGGCTTTAGGGTTGTTTTCGGGTTAAGGGACTAGATCCGCAAACATCAGGAGCCTTTCAAGAAGCTAAACCTTAGTAATCGATGAACCCAAGAAGCCGGCAAGCCCCCTTAAAGATCCTTGGGGTATCGGTTTTATTGTGTCAGTGTCGGACTCAGAATTTCTCAAGGTTTGGGAGTGCGTGTAAGATAACGGCCGGGTGCCAGATTGTGGTTGGAGGGTTTCAGAGGTCAGTTCAGGGGTTCAGGCTTTTAGTCAGGTGTATACGGGAGTTTCCGAAAACAGGGGACCCTAAGATGGCACCCTAAACTGTAGGATCCTCATCATAAAGCCCCCAGACAAGGCACCCCCTAATCTTCGGAAACTTCCATATCTTAGATCCCCAATACCTAACCTTTAAACTTTTTGGTTCTTATAGTTGGTCTACTGGGGAAGTAAGAGATCATGTGTCGGTGAGTCTTGGGCTTCTGCCAGGGCCGAGGGCTTAGTTTCGGTAACTTTACTTTTGCTCTTGTTAGCATGTAGGTGGTTGTCAAAATTATGGTACCTTTTTGGTCTGGGGTTTCAGCCCCTTGCAAGACCTGCTTGGAATCCGGCTCACAGTAGCAATGATGACATGGGTGGTTGTCAAAAATATGGTGCGTTTTTGGGAACCCTAAATATTAGGTGCCGTACGATAGTAGGGACCCCAGAACATTCTGACTCCTAGACAAGCACATGTAGCGACCTGCACGCTACCTTTGTTAACACCAGCACTGTCTTGGCAAATGCTTTCGTAGGCTTTAGTACCATTCCACACTAAATCTTTAACCCCAAACCCTAAACTGGTTTAGTGCTTGGGTTGGGAAGCCGAAGAGGAAGTCGTCCTAAATCTGACCGTGAAGCCTTCTGTTTAGGGGCTTTGGGGGTTTCGTTTCTGGTTTGGGGTTTTCTGGCCGAACACAACACGATGACCCACTTTTTGAAATCCTATGCCTTAAATCAAAACCACACACTTTCCACCCCAGCCCCGTCGTTGAAAATCTGCCCTACACCCTAAACCTTAAACCCTTAAGCTTAAACCTCAAGTTCAAATCCCTAAACCTTAAGTCCTAAATCCTACACCCTAAAATGTCAGTCCGCAACCGACGTGCCACAGATGCCGAGGCTTGGTCGGGTGTCAGAGATGTTTTTGCTTAACCCTAAGGCCCTAAAGTAGTTCCTTTTTAGGGTTCATATTTAGAATCCTGAATAGGTAATCCCAAAAAGGAGCTACTTTGGGGCCTATGGGTAGGGCTTGGTCTTAGTTTGGTTTAGGGTTCAGGTGTTGGTTTCAAGGTATATTTTTTTGTTTAGGGTTTAGGACTTACGTGGCTTTGGCTTCGGGTTATAAGCTGTTTAGGGGTTGGGGGATAGGGGTTCTCGTTTTGAGGTTTGGCGGTGTCTAGGGCTGATGTTGGGTTTTAGGCTTTTGGGGTTGGGTTTAGTTTTCAACCTTCTGCTAGTTTTTTTTGCGATTAGGGCTTCGAGGTTCTATCTACAAGGTCTTTGCTTGTGTTCTATCAACTCTATTTATAAGATCAGAAGCTTGGAACTTATGGGGTCCTGCACTTGGTGGGCTTGGGTTTAGGTCTTCAGGGTTCAGGGCGATTGATGGTTTCAGTGCTTCACTTAGGAGTGGATGGTGTTTTGTTTCCCTAGTGCGACTGTCGCGAGGAATGTGCAGTCTTGGTTGTAGTTCCGGCTCTCGGCTGTTTCAGAGTCTTACAAGCTTTGGATAGTCAGTTGCTGAGTTTCCTTCGTTACGACTTGGGAAACCAAGTTTCCAGACGTGCAGCTGCAAGGCACGATGACCCTTTGCACCACGTCCTGAAACAAGTGGGAGTTCCCAAAATAGGGGACCCTAAAAATGGTACCCTAAATAGTAGGATCCTTATTATAAGGCCACAGAATCAGGTACCCCTAATTGTCGGAAACTCCCAAGTGTCGCCGTGCGAGGGTTCAGGGCTCCCTTGCAATTAAGTTTCTCGGAGGGTTCGTTGTCACAGGTGCCTGTCTGAGTCGCCGTCAGGCAGATCTTACGTTTCCACGATACTACTGCCCGCAAAATGTTTCCCTCTTGTGGGGTTCATATTTAGAATCCTAGTAGGTAATCCCAAAAAGGAACGACTTTGGGGTCTATGGGTAACCTTAGAAGGTGTCCCCCCCACCGCGGCGCCACTTTGCCGGCACCTTTGGTCGTCGGGTCAGCATCGTAGCCTGGCTGCAGAGGGAGGTTCCCTTGCTTTTTGAGGCTTCAGGGGTTTAAAAACCCTACACCATGAATCCTGTAGGTTTGATGCTCTCTTGCTTTTTGAGGCTTCAGGGGTTTAAAACCCTAAACCATGAACCCTGTAGGTTTGGGTTGGATGTTTAGGCGCCCAAGATGCAAATGCCTCGTGCCTCGCGAGGGCCGCTTTTTTTTCAGGCTCAGGTTATGGTTTGGAGTGTGGTGTTTAGGACTTCGAGTTAAGATGTAATGATGGAGAGGTAATGATAGAGAGCGTTATGATGAACAAGCAGAGCGCAGGGATCCCAAAATGTTTTACTCTTGTTTTATACGGGACGGATTTGTTCCCACCTACATCAACTTCCAGACAAGGTATGAGTGAGATCAGCACAAGCAAACATGGTACTGTTAGCAGTTGCCATAGGCCGGCCCTACCTACTGCAGGGGCCTCAAGACTTAGAATAGGGGGTGCCTTATACAAATGTCAGCATAATATCCCCCCAAACCCTATTCTTATTATCTAATTTTTAAGGCCGCTTTTTTAGAGTGTCACACCTTGTGTAAGGCACCTACCATTGTGGCTGGGATCTATTTTTGAAGAGTAAGTACGCCTCAGACAAGGGTAGGGTATGACCGGATAGGTGCACTTCTACTATGATCTTCGAATCTGTGGTTCTCAAGACTTACTCGCCCATCTCTTCGTTTGAGTTGATGGAAGCATCGTGGCCAACGTTGGCCTACACAAAACGATCGTCATCTTATGATTCTGGGGGGGGGGGGGGGAAAACAAGTCGGGTTCAGGGGGCAGTAGTACTGCTTTTGCTAAAAAATGGCTTGGTTCCAGTTCCAGCTTCGAGTCCCAGGTAGTCTCGGTGTGACAGTTCTCGTGGGTGTCCGTGACACAAGTGCCGATCCCGACACCAAAGCCAAGCCTTAACCCGAAGCCCTAAACCCTACAGTAAAAGCCAGAAAGTTGGAATATGAATATCCTAAACCCTTTATGGTAAATTACAAGGTATCCTACCATGAAACCATATTCCAACTTTCTGTAGTTTCCTATAACCCGAAGCCCTAAACCCTAGATCCTGAACCGAAATCTCCAGAACCCGAAGTCAAAGGCCCCTGCTGGACTCCCCTACTGCCTAAACCCTAAAGCCTACAACTCTATGTTTCCACAAGGGGCGAGCAGGCTTTGAGGAAAGGGTCCGCTTTCATAGATTAAAAAAGCCCTAAAGCCCGGAACAAAACCGAAGAGTGTTAGTACAATTCGGCCTAGCTCCCCCTAAAGCATACTTAAGCCCGGAACCTCATAAAAGTTCCTTGGGCGGCTGAACCAAACGCATTCATTCCTGCATTCCTTCCTAACTTTCGTCCCTACCCCCAGAGCACCAACGCTGATTCCATGTGTGCACGTCTGCACAAGGCCTGAGCCACTGGTGGGTCGGCTGCAGCTCTAAGGTTTACTTTGCTTAAGGATTACCCTAATTCTAGCAGAACAATAGTAATAGCAATAGCAGGAACACTCATGATAATATGAGTAACCATAGGGTTCTGGTGTAACTACAGAAGTTGTTCGGAACCATCTGGGCTTCGGATAGCTCTCTCGCTGCTTCTTTCGGTGGAGAAGAAACTGGCACTTGAAGGGTTTGTCTTTTACCTTTGGGGTTGGCCGTAACCTTAAGCCATTGCCTGGCACATGTTGGAGTAGAAGGGTGCAGGATGCAAGGCGCTATGCGCAAAAGCCACAAGTGTAGGTCTAAGTATGGGCATTGTTCATCGGTCCCTAAACACTACCAAGCTGTAGGCTTTAGGCTTTATGTCCCAGGAATGAGCAGGTGGGCCAAAGGACGAAGTCCTGTGCCCGGGCTACACGAGCCGACTTCCTGCTTCGCAAGTATGGTTTTGGGCTGAGGGTTTAGTGTTGACAACTTGCGGTTTAGCACCGGACCTACAATATTGCCAGAAACACGACACCCCAAAGCCTACAGCTGATGTTACTTGGGGAATCTTGAGGAATTTGGCTAGAGCATGTAAACATATCAAAAGGGCTTCAGGACAGGGCTCAGGATAAGAAAGGTTTGCTTGTTGTAGATTGTAGGTACTTCCGAAGTTGCTCTAGGTTTCGGCAGCCAACAAAGTAGTGTTTTTGCTATGACCCCCAGTATTTTTATGCTCCGGGTCGTAAGATTTGACAAATGGCAACATGTATCAGAACCGCCTCTAGAGAGCAATCTATGCAGCAGCAGCAGCATGTCTAAGCATCATCCGCCGGTAACCCTGAACCTGAACCCAAGGCCTTTCAAAATCCTGGCCTGCGTCCGTGTTCAACAACAAAGATCATTGGATCCTGCCTCAAATACAATACCCAAAGCCTTAACCCTAAAGCCCCAAACCCTACTCCCTTAACCCTGAAACCCCCAGCCTAAAATCTGAATCCCTGGACCTTACCCCTAAACCGCACAAGCCTTAAACCCTAAACCCTAGAGCCTCAAGGACCATACTTGCTCAAGCTTTAAGGCTAGGCCAGGCAGCCTGAAAACTAGGGCGCCGCTAGCAGAAAGAGCAGAAGAGGGGCCGCCACGACTTCCAATGGTCTTGAGTTTTAGGGAGGGGTTTGGATCCAGATGAAGTTTGGTTTGAATGACTGGTAGTAATATCCCGTTATAGTCCGTACTAAGGTGCGCAGTGCGCAACAAAAGCTTGTTCTGGTTATTAGGGCGCCCGGTTCAATACTTGCTGATTCTAGAGCTACGGGGTTGGGATTTGGAGTTTAGGCCCCGGGTCTTGCAGCATGCTTTGTTGGGTTTTTGAAAGGTTATTACACGGTTGCTGAGGCCGTTTCTGGTTGTACGGTTGGAATCTTAGGCTGTGTGGTTGCTGGTCGTGGCCTTGCCTTAAGGACGAAATGAGCCCTAAAAGGAATTAAGGTTCATATACCATATAGGGATGCATACTATATGGGTATAGGTCCCCTACTTTTAAGGATCATTTGGTCCTTCAGGTGTGCTGTTGTTGGTGCGCAGTCAAAAGTTCTTAGATCAGATCTTTCAGTACGTCGTTGAGCTCTTCTGCCTCAATACCGAACACACCAAGCCCCCCCGACACCACGCACTTAAACCTTCCAAGTCCAGGGCAACTGGTATGCTCCTTCACGACTGCAACCTGCCGGGTAGAATATGCTCTAATCATATATTCCACTCTCTGAAGCCGTAGAACAAGCTATAGAAGGCTCTCTTTTAGTCATATTCAGCGCCTACACCCTTGCCTACAGGTCTAAGTCAGAGCCGATTGACACTTCTCAAATACTCGCTTGCAAGCAGTCAAGCAGTGACTACATCTTCGGGGTTGGGTTTTTCTAGAGTTTCTGGTGTTTAGTCTTTTGCGTTCAGGCCTCCGGGTGTAGGGTTGGGAGTCGCCCCCAGCTAGAGATTCCAGTCAATTTCTACCCCACAAGATTCCAGGTATCCGCATGCTGCTAAGGTTCTAGCGGGGTTTTGGTACCAAGAACCATTCAATTGTGACCTCAGGCCCACAATAGAAGCCCTTATAGAAACCTAACAGTTACCCTCACGAAAACGGCATCAAGCAATAAACCCTAAACCCTTGTAGTTTGGGTGCTGGACCCGCTGACTCTCGGCTCGAGAAGTCCGTGAGCGTGCACGGCAATGCCGAGATGGGGGCGAAGGCCTAAGGTTTAGGGGTTTAGGGTTTAGGGTTTAGGCTAAACCCTATAGTACCTATAGTAGAAGCCCGAAAGTTGGAACATGGGTTTAGGAGGATTAGTGCTAGGATCCCTTATCCTTTACCTTAAGGGCATGAGGATACTAATGTTCCAACTTTCTGGCTTCTACCATAAACCCTAAACATCACTCTCGCGATGTTTGGGGTTTCGACCTGGTTTCGGCGCGAGGTTCAGGGATTCCACAAGGGCGCATTAGGATTCCGTAGGGTATGGGAGTAAGGCTTTTCGACTTTGGGGATTACAAAGGTTTACCCATAGGCCCCAAAGTAGTTCCTTTTTGGAATTACTTTATAATAGGATTCTAAATATGAACCCCCAAAAGGAACTACTTTAGGGCCTTAGGGTAGGGGTTTAGGGCTTTGCGGTTTGGAGTTCCGAGGTATCAGAGAGGGGTTATAGGGCCGGGAGCCTAGGGCCTGCGGTTTTAGTTCGTAACAGGTGTATAATGTAGGAACCTCATGAAGAAACGGTGGGCTTTTATTAGGGTTCCTTGTATGATTCCTACTGTTTTGTGGGTTCTAGGCCCAGGGGTTCTTAATCAGGTTCCTACATTAATGCTGCCAAGAAGTGCTTTTCGCTGTCTCAAAGTTAGGCTAGGGGAAGACCGCGGTGTTACGGTACAGGCTTAGGGATTCAAGATATGTTTATCTCTTGTGCTCGGCTCCGATCGTGTCTGTGTGTGTTTCTGCATTTTAATCTTGCCACCCGCTTGCCGCACTTTTGTGCGCTTGCACTTCCGTTGTGAAATTCCCATGGTTGCACTGGATCCCAGTGAAGCACTTCCTATGTCCTATGTTGATATTTTGTCAACTCAGATACCACTGCAACCCTCGAGCATTATTGTGAAACCGACGTTTCTCGAGGCTCGTGGCCGCTGACAGGTTGATTTTCTTGACCCTCACACGAGAAACACGAGCTTGTTATTGTGTGAGGCCCATTCCCGTTCGGCTCCAGAACACCAACTTATTGGCTGTAGACTCAACTTTTCAACTTTTGGGGTTCTTATACGGTAGTCGATTCTGAAAGTTTCAACTTTCATTTCCTTGGGTCCTGGGCCAGTGACCCAAGCTAAGCCTAGAGTCTAGAGCTCCAGGGCTCAACAGAAGCTGCCGATGGCGACGTCTTTACCATGGAGATGCTCGCCGTCCACCCAGACGTCGGGTTTCGAGTAGCTTCTTGGTCAACCCTGGACCGCTTTGTTTAAGATCTGCTGTTTAGGGTGGTTCAGGATTTATAGAACTGCAGCCCCAAGCTCCATGTAGAAAATCCGGATATCCGACAGCCGATACCCTAAAGTCTGGGACTTGAGGCCCCTTTTGGCCTGAATTCCCAAAATTGGTGGTCGATTGCTCGCAGGAATGAACAGGGCTGTCTCCTTTCGTTAGGCATTCTCCGCCTGGGTGTCTCTATATGGGCTCACCACGGATACTCCCTGAAGGTTTCACGCCCCAAAACACAGATTCAGCTTGGCCTGCTATATACTTATACCCTAAGGGTCCATGTACTCATATAACATATACATTGGCCTTAATGTAGTCCCTATATAGGTACATTGCCCAAAAAAGGAACCCTAATTTGGACAACCACCCAAATATACCGCAGGCCAAGTTTGACGGCACAACGATGCCGTCGTACATTGGCATCCTGGGCAAGGCCGGCTCCATGCAGAAGTTCGAGCCTGGGATTATGAGGGTCTACCTATAGTCTCCATTGTAGTTCCTTTTTGGGGTTACCTTTTAAGGATCCTTTTTTTGATTGGTTAAACCAAAAAAAGAAACTACAATGGAGACTACAGGTAGAGCTACGGGTTTGTAGAGGCTTTGGGATAGAATCGTACTTAGTTAGTATTCGGTCATCCGGGTCCCTTATGCTGTGACGTTCGCATTTACTTGCAGTCTTCTGCTGTCATGCCTGGCCTGCTTCGTAAGACAGTTGCCCCGTAAGCCCCACTGTCTCATCCTGTAAACTCCTGCGTGCGAAGCACTGAATTCGAAGTTCCTTCTCTGCACACAATGTTGCAAGGTCTTGGTTTGGTATAGTGGTATAATAGGTAGGTATAGTCGCTGGGACAGCAGCCTCAGTCAGTGATGTTATGAGGCAGGTGCTTAAATTTGTATGTAAGTAAGCATTCGTCGTGAAAATTCTAGTCTCATGCTTGCAGACGCATTTGGCTGGCATGTGACTGTCACGCATTGCGTTGCCCTATCTGGAATAGCCCGTTCCCGCAAAGTTGCTTGAGGCTTACCACTTACCATCAACACCGCTGCCACCCCACCATCTTCAGTGCCGCCGTCACCACAGCTAATTCGTTACTTGTCACCACCAAGAACTGCAACAGCTTCTACAACAGCAGCAGTAGTCAATGTCATAGTGCTGGTCCGCACCCTAAAAGCTGCTTTCCGTGTGATTGGCACATGGATCCAGGTGTATGACGTGAGCGAATCCAGCAACTTCCAAGCTGGAGGAGGCCGTGGGAGCTAGTATAGGGGCCTTAGTAATTCGAGTAGGGTTCCTAAAAGCTTCCTTCTAAAGGCGTGTATAAGGATGAGTATAAGGGGTATTATGGGGGTTTAGTATAGGGGATTTGCTAATTGGAATAAAGTTTTGGGCCCCATAATATTATGATGAAAATAAGGAGCCCCAAAAATTAGTATTGGTATTTCTTTAGGCCCTTACATTACTCGTGGTTAGGCGAGGCTCTGGTGTTTGAGTTCAGGCTTTTATGTATGAAGCTTTACAATGTCACAGTGTTGTGGTTTCCCAAGTGCTTCATATTCAATTCCGGGTCGCAAGAGGATAGATCCGACTTACTGTTAGCTTCAGTGTACATGTTTCATGCAAGTATTGCACCGACATCAGGATCACCAGGTAGATCAGGATGTAGAGCAACCCCTGGTGTTGGACTAAGAATTTGAGAACATGGTGCTTGGGGCTTCTATGTCTGTCAGAGGATTGTCGTTACGGTTAGGTTCTACTCTTTAGGGTTTAGGGCTTAGCGAAGTGACGCAACCCTAAGACCTTGATCTCCCACTTACAACTTGTAGGTTCGTACTGGTCATATATGTAGTCCCTTGTAAGCTCCGCAGTTTCAATTCACGACTTCTCATATGCACACCTCAGGCTGTTCTCGATAGCCTCAACGCCGTGGCCTTCCAGGAGGCCCTTTAAAAATCTATTCCTCTGTAGAATGAGGTCCCAGGAGATGCGCAAAACCGTAGCAGGCCTGCTTACTTTCGCGTGAACGTTTAGAATCTGGGGTTTATATACCCATGCCCCACAGTAGTTCCTTTTGGGGGATTCTAAATATGAGCCCCAAAAAGGAACTACTTTAGGGCCTTAGGGTATAGGGTTTTAGGGTATGGTCAGCTGCATTGCAGTTCCTCAAGCTCTTCGTGGCACCAGACGCCAGAGGCCCGAAAGCCAAAGCCTCATCTAGAGCTTAGGTACTTTACCCTAAGCGTCTATGTGCTCATTTAGTAGATACATTGGCCTTAATGTAGTCCCTATATAGGTACATTGGGGCCCATGTATCTCTATATGGGTACATGGACCCTTAGGGTCATCTAGAGTTTAGGTACTTTATAGAGTTCAGGGTCTATAGGGTGTACTGTAGAGGACAGAAGAATCAGTAGCAATAGCTGACCCTTATAGTGCCAATCTTGTTATAGAGTGGCATCACCCACCGGCCCGAACGCCTTTGTTCAAGTTGATTTTGCTGAGCCCTAAAACCCCAACACTGTTTCTTTTCCTACTACTGATGACCCTTCTGCCTCATGCAGACTCCCCTTCCCCTCCGCGCAGGCTACGGTGACCTCTGGGCGGGAAGCGATGCGACCTTCGCTCTCGCCACGTTGTCGCTGGAGAAGAAAGATCGGAACAGGCCTTGCAATTCACTTAGAATTTATGGGATTTAGTTTTGGGCCAGATATGTTCATGGCTTTGGTGCTTCTGCTGTGCCGTTCGGCTGCGAATTTAAAAACACAGTATCGGTTCAGGATGACTTATTCCAGGCTCAAGCGCGAGTGACTTATGTATGGAGTTTGGTGTGTGTGTGTGTGTGTGTGGTTCCGGCTTTGCTATGTTCAACAAATGGTGGCAAGCTGTCTATTCTGACGACCCCGAAGCCCGAAACCCAGAACCCTTAACCCTGAACCCTAAGCCTACAAGCGATGGTTAGTGTCACAAATTTCCTAGATTGCTTAGCATGGACAAGCCCTACACCTTAAAACTCGAAACCTAAAGCCTAAACCCAGTGAATCCTTAGCCCAAACTTAACCCCCCAAACCCCTTAAAGGCCTAAGCCCTAAATGCTACACTCTTAAGATGACTTAGATCCCCAATACCTAACCTTTAAACTTTTTGGGTTCTTATAGTTTAGTAGGAATCGGAATGTGTAACCTTTTATTTGCATGGTTTATTGGGGAAGTAAGATGATGATGACAGACGAAGGCTCGACTGGACGATGGAGCAGTTCAACGACCAGCAGCTCAAGGCTCTAGCTGCCTGGTCTTGGCCTCGGAGTTCTTTCATAGGAGGCCAAAAGGGGTTTTAACCTATCGGGGTTTAGTAGGGATTAGGGTTCCCATAATAATAGGGTTCAAATTAAGGAATCCCTACCCCAAGAATCTCAAAACCCCCTTTTGGCCTGCTATCAATCTTAGAATTGGGGTGTCAGGAATGTACCTAGGGTTTAGGGTTTAAGAGTTTCTAGGTTTTCGGGATGCAGCGGGAGAACTGGGTTCTTGATGATAGACTACAAGGGTGTAAGGCTGAAGAAGCAATCCCCACACGGGAGAATTTAGGCTGCGGCCGTTTCGGATTGCAGACCTCGCGCGCATGCTCGAAAGTTGAATTAGGGATACAGCTACATTCCATTGTAGTGTATATGACCATCTCATCCTACTTTAAGGACCCCATCTTCTAGATGGTGTGTTGCAGTTCTCCATGTCGCGCATATTTCAGGTTTGCCAAGACATGCGCTCCGAGCAGTGGAAGGATTGTGGGGTAGTGCTTCATGTTTGGGTTCAAGGGCCCAGTATAAGATCCTTAATATGTTGAACAGGGGTTTTGGGATATGCTCTGCTACATCATCATCATATGTAGCCCTGTCAGGGTTTACGAAGAGACTGGGCCGTCTGCATTGGCACCGAAACACTTCCGCTGCGCTTCCTCACGGTATTTGATCCTTGCTAGGCTTCCGAAGCTGCGGCGCTTAGCCGGAATACCCTAAACCCTATACCCTAAACCCTAAACCCTAAACCCTAAACCCTGAACCCTAAACCCTAAACCCTAAACCGGGTTACTGAGTTTGCATGGGAGTTGGGGTGTAATGTTTTAGAGGCCTGAATCATTCGAAGAGTTTTTGATTTTTGATGGGGTGTGGTGGGGTGGGGGAGGTGGGTACATGATGATATTCAAAATCCTACAGGAGTATAATGCAAGGCAGCATTCTCGCTTGCCGAAGGAGTCGCAGCCATCAGTGGTTCTTTGATTGCTATAGCCCTAAGCCCAAGGGTCCCTGTACCTATATGGCATATACCCGGGCCCTAGAGTACAACATGGGCCCACTATCAACCCTAAAGCCTAAACCTTGCGTCCTAAGCCCGAAGCCGCAATCTCCAAACCGATAAGGCATGATAAGGCTGCACCGTAAGCACAAAAACGTAAATCCCATGCCCGAGACCTTACACTCCCCAAAGCCCTAGCTATAACCCCAAAACCTGTTGCACGGGTGCTCAGGAAGAGGTACTTCGACGTGAAGTATCCCGTGGTCGGGAGCTTGAAGGAGTACCAAGGCATGTTTCAGGGCCATGGGCTGAAGGTTTAAGGGTCAAGGGGTTCAGATTTCAGGGTTTAGGGTTTCTAAAGGTTTAGCAAAAATCACTTCAACTTTAGAAAGAAGACCTGAAAGTTAAGTGCCTACATTGGTGTGAGGTTGAGCCCTATAGTCTTGGGCCACTACCTGAAAGTTTCCTAAGACTCAATCCCATGCATTTCTAAACCCTGGCAATCCGTAACCCTCATCAACCAAACATATACCGAGTAAACCAACCGAGCGGAAGGCTCGCCGGAAGAAAATTGTCACAATGGATACCGTTGAGTGTTGGATGCTGCGGCCTTACCCTAAGGCCCTAAAGTAGTTCCTTTCGGGGGTGCATATCTAGAATCCTATTAGGCAATCCCAAAAGGAACTACTTTGGGGCCTATGGGTAGTTGCGCTGCATCCGAAGCAGCCTTAAGTTGTCGATCCCATTGCCAACGCTAAGCCGCTCTCCTAACGCCTCATGATATATATATATATATATAAATAAATAAATAACTCCGCGCATGTGCGGGTTTCTGAGAAGTTGAGGCTGCGCCTTGGGCTGCAAAACACACAAAAAAGTTTGTCTACAAGCGTCGGAAAGCCTAACCGACAAGCCTCCTGGAAACCCTAAACCCTAGACATGTTAGAGAAACTTCAAACTTTAGACGTTGAGCACTAACTTTCCCGAACCCATAAACCTAAACCCTAAGCATCCCTTAAAGGGCCTGCCGCAGGCCGCAATGTGCAACTTCCCGAGACAGCGCACGGGCCTCGCATGCCTTAATTGACGAGTGCAGAATGTGATTAGCCCAGCCAGCCGTCTCCGAAGGGTTTTGTTTCGGGATGACCCGGAGAAGCCAGTAATTACAGGTTTTGCAGGGGTCTTAATAACGGTCCGGAGGACCCAATAATTAGGCTCCTGGGTTTAGTGCAGCAGTGTAAGCTATCGGCTACCTAGACCCTCAAAAGTAGGTAAAATAATGGCCCAAAATCTATAAAAGGCTATTATTCTACATACTTTGGGGGTCCAGGTAGTGGTTAGGCTGGGTTGGGAGTATATCCGGAGTCTGTAAGTGTTAGGTCTCTCGATCTTGACAGCAGGGCTTAGAGCAGGGGTTTATGCGCATGTTTGTTGTTTTCAGCTTCCTGCATGGCGTGTAGTAGGGTTTGTGGGTTTTTAGTGGCTGTACATCTTGGAGGGCTTCCGGGTGATGCTAGATCGACCGGGATCTGCGGTTGACGGTTTAGGACCGTTGCGACAGCCACATGAACATGAGGATCTCCTTTCTGCATGTAGTAAGGAGCTAGCAATAGTGGCGGATACTCCACCGAGCCATGGCAGGGTCCATGTACCAATATGTTATAACTTTTAACTACTTAGGCGACAGGCCTGAAGTTCCCATGATATAGTAATTAACATTCAAAGAACAGAGTATGTGCTACATGGGTTGTTGAAACCCAATAAGCTCCCCGGGTGTTTTGACGCTTCTGCCCTTCAGATGCTTTGACGGACTCCTGTAGAGTTCGAAGCGTTACGGACTCACCTTGAGCCATGTGTCTACTTTTAGCTTGACAGCCCTGAGCCCCAAACCCAAGAGCCTACACTCTAAACCCTTAGCGCTGAGCCCCAGAAGGCAGCATGAATGCAGGAACCCTAACTATAGTCTCCATTTTGGGGTTACCTTTTAGGATCCTTAGTATAAAACTTGTTAAACCCAAAAAAGGAACTACAATGGAGACTATAGGTAACCCGTAAACCCTTATAAGCCTCAACACCGGAACCTGGAGCCTAGATTGAGTAGTTCAATTTAGACGAGCAGCTCTTATGGAACCTATAGCTTGTGTGTCACAAGGACCCTTAGGCAGGTAGGGCGGAGGGGGGTAAGGGGTCTCAATACCGATTCTAAGGACTTAATCAGGCTTTTTTAAGGAAGTTTAGTGCCCTACCCCCCCGTCCCCTGCCCCTGCCCCCCTAAGGGTCCCTCTATGATTTTATGAGGAGTTGCAGTGTTCTTTGCCGCCATTGCCAGGCTCAGGCTTTGCATTCTTGCTTTGCCGAAGTCTTGTGGATCTTGAGTGCCATGGCCGAGACAAACCAACCTGTTCAAGCTCAAGTGGTGCAGGCTCCTCCGGCCCCCGCCTCCGCCCAGATACTCCACATATCCCTTAGTTAGGGAATATCCCTTAAATCATATTAGGGCTCCTACTATTATTTAAGGCATATTGCTTAACTAATTAAGGGATTTTGGAGTTTCTTGGGCATGGTGCTAGAACGCGTAAGGGCTAAGGGTATTCTTCCTTGCATCTAGGGTTTCTGTAGTTTCAGGCACGAACTTGACAAGAAGACTCCACTAGCTTGCACTTGAAGACCCAAAGAAATGGAGCAGAGAGTTCCTGGAGCATGCGCTAGTTGAATGCTTGGGCCTTTATGACATACAGTAGCCGCCGGAAAGTTGGAAGGCGGCAATTGGAACGGTTGATGCGGCAACGGCATCTTCCAACTTTGGGTTTGGCTTGGTCCCATCTTCCAACTTTAGGTCCCCGCGTTTGGACCGGTTGATGCGGTAACGGTATCTTCCAACTTTCGGTTTGTGGAAGCAGCTCCAGTAATGCAGAGAGAGAAACCGCAATTACTTCGACCGTTCCAGTAGTGCTGAGGGAGGGAAACAGCAATTACTACGACCACTCCAATATTGCAGACAGGGAGAGGGAAACTGCAAGTACTACGACCGCTCCAGTATTGCAGAAAGAGAGAACCTGCAATTACTACGACCGCTCCACTATTGCAGAGAGAGAGAGAGTGAGAGAGAAAAACTGCAAGTATTACGACCACTGCAGTATTGCAGACAGAGACAAGCTGCAAATACTACGACCGCTCCAGTATTCCACAGAGAGAGAAGAACTGCAAATACTACGACCACTCCAATATTGCAGAGAGAGAGAAAACTGCAATTCCTAGGACCGCTCCAGTGTTGCACAATTACTTAGACCGCTCCAATATCGCAAAAAGAGAGAAGCTGCAAATCCATGGCCGCTCCCGTATTGCAGAGGGAGAAGAACTGCAACTACTCCAGTATTGTAGAGAGAGACGGAGAAACTGCAATGACATATTGGGTCTGCTTGGTCCCATCTTCCAACTTTAGGTCCCGGCATTTGGAGCGGTTCATGCGGTAATCAAAAGTTGGAAGGATGCAAACTTGGAAGAATCCAAAGTTGGAAGATGTGTTATATTCCAATTGTGGGGTGCTGAAACTTTGGGGGCGCATCTTCCAACTTTGCGGCTGCCACCATACATACATGTGTAGTTCAATCGCAAGGTTCGGCTGTCGTCATCTTGATTTGAGTGTGCACAGCTCGAGACGTTTCTGTGAAGAGCATGAGGGAGTTTCTGAAAACCCTAAGCCCTACACTACTCACCTAAACCCTATAACTTCTAATGCAGATCCCAAACCCTACCCTAAATTCGTAAACAGAAACGAAATGGTAGGGGGTAGAGACCAACGTCGTGATAACACCCCTTCATGGAGGAATATACTTTACAAGCTCTTTTGGGTAGGCTTGATCTTGTGATTTAAGGTGTATGCCTTGATTAGGGGTTGTTGCGCTCTTTCGGTCTAGGGGTTTTTAGGGTTAGGCATGTGCAAAGGAGACAAGTCCACCCCCCCTTCCCCCCCGGAATAATTAAGCGAAACCTCCGCACTTGATAAGCCTTCTCTGAATAGACCCCACCCCAAGACACCGGTAGCAAGGTCATCGCTTCAGGCTGTGCAGTTTCAACGCTTAGGCTATCAAAGTTCTACCAATGTGCCGTAGAGGCGACCGTCGTGGGCCAACCCGTCGACTCTTGGACTGGCATCTTCGGATTTAGGACTCCGCGTTGTTGGACTCCCGGGAGTTTGACTCTAAGGATTGTAGGGCTCCATGGTCTTGGGGGGTTTGGGGTGGAGGATTGAAGGGTTTCAGCTTTGCTGCTCGGAATCCTAAACACTGAGTCCTGCATGCCACACCGCTACCTGTAAGTCGGTCTGACACCTTCTGCAGCTCCTAACCCAAAGGGTCCAAAGTACCGATATAGTAGAATGTAGGGTTTCTATATTAGGAATTACTATTATGATTTGGGGAAGTATTCCCCATAATAGTACATGGGACCCTTTGGGTAAACAATGCCCCGCACTTCAACACTCACAGTCTCCGATGCTGTGGACACTCACATGTGCATGATGCTGTTGTTGCTGTTGCTCTTGTTGTTGTTGCTGCTGCTGCCGCTGCTGCTGCTGCTGCTGCTGCTGCTGCTGCTGCTGTTGTGGTGGTGGTGGTGGTGGTGGTGGTGGTGGTGGTGGTGGTGGTGTTGGTGGTGGTGGGGGTTGGGGTGGCGGCGGCGGTGGCGGTGGTGTTATTGTTGGTGTTAGTACCCATATGTTCACATGCCACTTTGTCAGGTCATTTGTTGCTGTCGCAAAGTGCCACCATCTCTTCGGACCACTTTGAGCATGTAGGCGCATGCACAGAGATGTGGGTCCACAACCCGCCTGCATGCTCTGAACAATGAACTGTTTTGTTAGTGCTGGTGGAGCGCAGCATGAACGATTTATGCATCAGTTGATGGGGCTTGGTTGGGGAATGTTGGGGATCTTTGTGGTCACTGGAACTGTTTTGCGTGCATCTGCATCATGCCATACAGCCTGCTCAGATGATGTTTGAGCCTTGTTCGAGGCACCAAATGCTCACAGCCTTCTTCCAAAGCAGCTGCACCCAGAGAGCGGAATATCCGGTAGTTGCGGAATCAATCTTACGTCAGATCTTGTTTGCCACCTGTAAGTTGAGATTTGTTCCATAGACTCGGGGTATTGGACACTCTTGGAAGCTCTGCAAGCCAGAATGTGACTTGCTTGACATCCTCCCCTATTTGGAGGTTCATGGGTAGGTGGGTTATATGTGGGAGAAGTGGAGATTATAGATTATGGTTGCAGTTATTCACCGGTAATCGGGGACTTATGACCCTTCGGTAGGTTATAAGTCGGATAACCAAAGTTACAGGTATAACCCATATTCGGGGACGTATATCCTACCCATGAACCCCCAAGTAGTGTGGCATCCAAGGCAGCTGGTCCGTCGGAGCCTAAGATATGAGAAGTGTGAGCCAGCAAATACTTTAGGGGTCTAGGTCTAGGGGTTTAGGGTTTAGGGTTAGCTCCTGCAGGTCCATGTGCGTATAGTCCGTATAGTTGAAAGACCAAGAGAACCCAGAAAGTATCTATAAGGTTGTAGGGTAGGCTATAGGCTTTCAAGGGATATCTATAGTGTCTATAGCCCGCCAACCTACGACATAGGTAGATGCGGCCTTGCGGCGGCATGTGGGGCATTGCTGGAGGATTTACGGAATACGGTGAGGATTCAGACGATACAGAGCTCTCTGTCGCGGTGCGCTGCATTTCATTTCATTACGTGTTGCCCTCCGTTTGTAACGGCTTACAGTCGTACTTGCTTCTGAAGCACATCAGCGTCCCAGCTTGGCTCCTGAGCGCTACTCCCAGTCATACACTGCAACACTCCAGATGAAGCCCCAGATGCCAAAGAAACACTGACACTCTCGACTGACTGAGGCTGATTGGCAGGGCTTGTGTCGTACAATACCTGGGCATGTTGACCTGAAGCGCTGCTTGAATCTCTGACATCAATCACATGGGAAAATTAAACTCAAGTACAGTCTTACTCGTGCTTGTCAAATGAAGTAGTAGTATTGCTCTTGTCGCAATAATTTA